CTGCTCCAGTAAATCCCCCCACTCTATGCTTTGTACCACATTGCTGTGCTGGGAGCCAGCTGCCGTGCAAGAACGGGGGGGGAGGGGGGCGTGATGGAGCCCCAGGAGCCCTCAGCACACACCCAGGCCCACTTGCATGGCATGGAGTTTTGGGTCAGGCTGAGACCCTGCATTAAAAGGGCCCCTAAATTCATAAAGTGATGTCTGGAAGTGCTTTGAAGCTTCACAGGGAGCTGTAGCATCCCCCCCACAGAGCACGTGGGGCTGCATTCAGAGCTTGTGGCCATGAAGGAGTGCCATCAACCCAGCAGGAAAGCTCTTCCAGTGCAGCCCAGGAGAACAGACTGCAGACAGGACTGCGCTAAGCACTTGGATGGATCAGTCTAGATCTAACTCTTCTATGGTTACAGCCTCATTCACACACATTATCATCTATTTAATTCCTGTGCTGGCTGAATTAAAGTCAACACGTTGTCCTCCTGGTGCCAAGGGTGAGCTCTGCATCTCAGTGGGCTTTAAGGTCACCACTGCGAGATCCCTCTGGCTTCTGATGGCACAGGGATTTCCACTGAGGACAGTTTCCTCCCGATATGAAGTGGTTGGAGGTGGGCTGGACCCTGACTCACACCACAGGGTTGTTGCCACACAGCCTTTGGCTGCCACTAGTAATGAGTTTTTCCGGCCCAGGATGAGAGCCAAGTTGTGCTTGCTGGTGTGGAACATTGCATTTATTTGCTTTCCTTTCATAACCTGGCTCACAAGCTCTGCCAGATGAGGCTTGAACCCTTATTGGGGCAAAGTGGACCTCAATACTTTCTCCTCCTGAGCAGCCTGACGGCAGGAGCAAGGCACTGGGAGAGCACGGGGCAGGAGTCAGGCTGGCCCTGTGAGTGTTGTAATGATATGGATCTTTAGTGCAAAAGCAAAGTGAAAAGGTGCACAATCCTCCCTCCCCTCAAGCAACTGAGCCCACCTGTTGCCAACCCAAGTGCTTGTCATGGCGATCACCAGCCCATGGGCACACATGGAACCCCGCCAAAGGAAGGATTTGGAAACAGAGAGAAACTTGCGTCTGAATGGAACAAGGTGCCAGGGACAGGCACAGCCAAGGGATGCAGACACATGGCAAGGCATGTGCCTGGGCACAGGGCATCCTGGGGTGAGGAAGACGGAGAGGAAGCACGGGGCTGCTCCCTGCCCACACATCTGCTGGGGCAGTCCTGGTGCACAACCCTCTCTGCACCACTCCAGCCCTGGTTTCAATCATCTCTCGCTTACACACAGTTTGCTTTTGTTGACAGCACATTTACTTGCACTTGTCAAGTACGCTGTAAATTGTGAGAGAATCAGCCCTGCCCTTCCTGATTGGGGCAGCGGCCAGGAAGGGGCCAGGAGCCTCTTTCCCAGGGCCCGCTTGGGATCGGTCCACGCCTGCTCACAGCATCAGCAGCCACGGGGGAGAGAGAGGCGGCCGTGATCCGAAAAGTGCTGAGGATCCACCAGCTCCCTCAGGGAGCGCCGGGAGCACCCATCCTGGGCTCCCACAGCCCAAAGTCCGCACCACCAAGTGTCCGTAATTATTTAGCTTAACGACAATCTACATCTTTCAGACACAGCCAGCCATCATCTCCGAGGTAATCTCAGGTCACGGAGTCAGAAGGAAGAGTAATCAGCCGTTCTGAGTGTGGAAGACACAAAGAAACAAGCAGTGAGAATCAGGTGGTCGTAGTGGGTTCGTTATCTGCACGGCACTGCGCTGTTTGCTTCTGTCCCCACAGCCAAAGCTGCTGGAGCAGCACCAGCCCTGGTGCCTCCACCTCGCTTTGCACTGCAGATTGCCCCGAGCTAATGTGGAAACTGGAGCAGTGCAGTAATGCAGGGTTAAAAAAGCACCGCGCTCTGTGCAGATGGTCATTATTCGGCCCAAGGAGGCAGCGCCGCTAACTCAATTAATGCATAAAGCTGCTTTTGCTATAATCACATTGCGGTGGCTGTGGCTCCTCACCAGCCCCAGCCCACCTCCAGGCTCTGCACCAACCCATTTGGGGATGTTTGTCAGCAAGTGGGGTCACACCACCAGCATGTGTTACACAGCAGGTCCACAGATCCCTGCCCAGCACAAGCAAAGGCAGGGAGCAGCCACCTGAGTCAAGCTCAGACCCCAGGACGAGGGGCAGGGAGGCTTTGTGGATGGAGAAAATATCTACAGCACAACTCCTGTGAGCTGCTGCAGCCACAGGATCAGAGTAGTTCCACCAAGCCCTATAGGGGTGGCAGAGAAGCCACCAGAGCCATGCTCCCACCCACATCCCTTCACCAGGGGACCAGCCAGCAGGACCACACCAACAGTCCTGGTTATCCCTAGGGCTGATGCTGCACTCAGGGGCAGCAAGAGCTCATCAGGACTACGGTGGGACCACCACTGATTTGTCCCAACTGGTTTCTCTTCCTACACCCCCAGAATCAGACGTACCACACATGGTGGCTCCGGCACCCAACAGCTTCATCTCCCAGAGGGGGTGACAATGGCTGTACCTGAGTCAGGAAGACCCTCATGCAAGTCCCACCCTCCTTGGGCACAGTTCTGAGGCCCTGGTAAGACAAGAAGTGCCATTCCAAAGCCTTAAACTTGTCCTCATTCCCACAGCTCCAAGACATCACCAATGTACAGCTGTGCTCAGACCATCCAGTCCCTGCTCTCCAGACAGGACCATCCCACTGCAGAACCTCTGCTCCATCACAAAGCATATGTTTTGGAAAGGACTCAGGGCTACTGGCAGCATAGCTGTGCAGAAGGGAGAGCTATGCCCAGCTGGTGGGCTGGAGGAGCTGCATTGCTTTCTCAGCTCAGGCACAGCTGGCACACCACACGTCTCCGCCTGGTACCAAGGCCACATCAGCCCAGGGCTCCTGATGCCCAACAAAGCCATGTCCCTAGACAAGCAGCCTCCTGCCAAGCTGGCATAAATCTGAAGGCCATACAAACCAGATTTCCATCTGGAGCAGAAATCAGCCATGTGGAAGCTGATATTTCCAACTTAATTTGTCCACTCACAGACAGTAGACACTGTCAACTTTCCTTAAATACCCCCAATATCAAATGCCTCGTAAGCAATCAGAGGAAGCTCCCGGATCACTCCTCCTTTTTGGGAGGCTGATCTCCCTGCACACACCCTGCTGCACTGCCATCCCAGGGATGGTGCCTGATGTGTGGCGTCATTCCAAGCAGCATCCACCACTCCAGTGTGTCTGCCTGGCTGTTCAGGAGCTGCCCTCAGACCCTGTGCTGTTTCCTCTTGCACTTCAGGATCAGGTTTGTTGTAAAAATGCAGCCAGGAAGGTTTATACCTTGCTGGGCTCTAAGCAAAGCAAAGCACCTGGCAGCAGCTCTCACTGCTTCTTTTCCCTCTCCCAGCCCCATATCCTATAAACAGGATTTCCATCAGCTTCAGCAAGTGTAAATAAATCCCTATCACAACACTGGAGAGCTCACCCTACCCTCTGTCCCCCTGTTCTCTTCTGTTCCCCAAATCTGCCTCTCTGCACAGGAAAGCCTTCAGATGGTCCTTTTCACCTGTCCAGTGGCCCCACAATAGCACGAGAGTGGGCACTCTCAGAGCTTTGCTCTGAGCCATGGGGTCTGCAGATTGAGTAGAGAGCCCAGATCAGCCCCACGCATTGCCCCAGGCACAGAACCTGGGGTGGGGGCGGAGAGCAGAGCCCATATCACAATGGAGAGCTGCTGAGCTCCCCTGTTTGCAACCATTTAAGGTATCCTGCAGAGCTTTGCCCCAGAGGATCCCCAGCCCAGATGGATGTCAGCCAGCCCAGGGCACAGGCCCTGCCACTGCATCATGACAGTAAGAGATGTCACAGAACCTGATCACTGCACCGCCCCTCTGCTACTCGTGTTTTTGGAGCTTGAGTTGTTAACCAGGTTCTCAGGCTTTCTATGCTGTTGCTATTTTGGTAGGGCTGAACAGGCAGGAAGAGGAATCCAAAGGCTCTGCCTCCTGCAGAGACGCTGTGAGCGCTGACTTGGCGTGAGATTCTGCAGTGCAAAAGCTGCATTGCTCTGCCTCTATGCCTGGCAGCCATGCAGCGAGAGCAAAAGCCAGACCACCCAATGGGCTGCAAGAAACGGCCCTACGGCACGGGCACTGCTCCATCACTGGGCACAGAGAGGTGTCCGGGAGCTTTGCGCCCAGGATGCCCAATTGCACCACTTCAAGCATTTTACATGCTCAGCACAGCATGTTCCTCTCACCCCAGCATAGCAGCCCCCCACCACTAGTCCAGCCCCAGCCCTGAGGGACCAGATGGCTCCTGCACCAACGCATGCATGCAGCCCCTCCAGGCAGTGCTGCCATGCACCAAGTGGAGGTGCTGACTGCATTCTCACCAGGCAGGCACACCCTACGTGCTTCAAACTTCATGCACACATTTCTCTTGCCAGCCCTTCTGAGATCACTCCTGAGCCAGGCTGAAGCTCTCTGGTGTAGGAAAGCACCAGTGTGGCCACACTGGTTACGGACAGCAGCACTCAAAGGACTTTCTCATGCTGTGGGAGCCTGAGCATCACAGTGCATCCGAGTGCACAGAAGGACACATCTCCACACCGCTGCTCCCATGACCCCAGTGCCTTTCGACTGGATCGCAGCCTCAGCCACCCCCTCAGCACCAGGCCCTGCCCTGCAGCCAAGTTCTGCAGAAAGGCCACACGATGAGCTGCACGGCCTCAGCTGTCCGAATACAGATGCTAGGAAGCATCAGAATCAGGCAGCACTACTCAACTCAGTTCAGCAGATGCAAAAGCAATCACTGCTTCCCCAAGCTGGGCAGGAAGCTGCAGACGCAGCAGCGCTTAAATACAAACTCCCTCCTCACCTGGCACAAAAACCATCCCCAAAGCATCACTGGAGCACAGCCCTATGGCACTCAGAGCCTTGCAGCGCTCTAAGCAAGGGTTCCATCAGGGCTGCACTGCGCAGGCTGCTTACCTTGCTCTCTGTGGGAGTCGATGCCGGATGTTGCTGCTTGGTGATGTTCTCAGCCAGACACCAGCAGATCCTCTTCTTCTGCTCCTGGGAGTAAGCCTCCAAACTTAATAAGCACTCCGACTTCTGACGTAAAGGAAACACAGGCAGAGAGAAGGTCATTAGCTGCACGGCGCAGGCCCTGGCTTTGTTTGCAAACTCCTCACTTCCAGCACGCTGTCAGATGAACAAGGGTGTAAGGAGGGGGCTCACAGTACCCAGAGCTCTGGGCACGAGGAAGTAAAACAGGTGAGAAATCAGCTGAATGGGGGCTTATGCTGCTGGCAGACAGGGAAGGGGGTGGGTGCAGATTTGGCTGTAAGAGATGGGAGCAGAGCAATAAGGTGCAGGCAGAGCACTGGCAGTTCTGCACCCTATGCCACCACACGTGAACATGCTTATTCAGCTGCCTTTGAAGGAGGGGAAACAGCTCTTTGCTGTATGCAAACATGAGCAAGAAGTCGAGTCAAAGGAAATAACACCTTGGGGCTGGGCAGGGCTGGGAGGGACAAGGGTCTCCTCCATTGGGGCACCAGGGGAAGTTTGGAGGAGGATGCTCAGCACTGTTGACATGCTGCCTGTGAGCAGTCTGTGGCAAGGAGGAAATGAATGGAGAGAAAGGAGGGGAGCCTGGGAGCGCATCCCTGTGAGCCCAGTGTGAGCTCCTGGGCCTGCTGCTACCCCTTGTGCCCCAGCCTTACACAGCCCTATGGTAACAGGGACCTGTTCTTCTTCCCCACGTCTTCTTTGGGCCAAATCCCAATCATTTACAAAACCGTCTGCTCAAATTCCCCCACAAATGCTCTTCCACTGCTCATCTCTCTTGCAAAAAATGAAGTGTTAGCAGCAATTGATGCCAATAGGGATTTTGCAGTACTCGCTTTAAAAAGGGCCAGGAATTCCCAACAGGTTACCTCCATCTGTAGCCAGGTGTGAAAAAAAAAAGTGGAACTTTGGGACAGAAGTGCAAAGAAAGAAAAATGTCCTGTACTAAAATGGGATGAATAACAGTCCTTCCTTTCCCCCTAGGATTTCCTTGAAGAGGGGCAGCTCTCTGACTTGCCTGCTTTTCCCAGAAAGGTCAGACAGAACTAAGGAACTTGCACTGTGTGACTCCAAAGACACACAGCTGAAAGGGGAAATGCTGTTTAGTCACACCATTTAAAACTGTTTGCATTGGATGCAAACTCATTCATGTGTAATCCACAATTCCTGCCATAGAGGTAAACAAACCAACCTCCCGCGTCAGCTCTAGAGAAACAGATCTCTAGCCCAGATCTCTTCCCCCTCCAAGACTTCTAAAGGAAGAAGTTTTGAATTTTCTTACACCTGCGCTTCACGACATCTATTCCTAGAGCAGAAATGGGCTTAAATATGGAAAGTGCATGCACAGACTGATCTATACACAAAACCAAATAGAGGACACAAAGTTGCACGACTCTGTGCCCTCAAATACCAATTGCTCCGATGCTCTGTTGGAACAGTAGTACTCATATGAACAGCTGATGTCTGGATTTCACCCCATCCCACCGCCAGGCTTTAGCACTGCGACACCCACCTGATCCCAGAAAAGCATTTAATCTTTCCTGCTTTCAGGGGAAAGGACAGGTGCCCATCTACACACAGGAAATCCAGGCTAGCACTTATCTACCCCACACCTGGGCAGAAGCAAATGATGAGAAGGACTCAGAAGAGCTTAAAAACCAGCTGCAGAGCCCAGAGGCAGAACGACGCTTTAACTAACGTGTTTTCCAGTCCCCACTAAGCTCCTGCAACTCCCTGGGCACAAGGCTTAAAGTGATTCTAAGGGCATCTCAGCTCCCCTTGCTCATGATGGATGTGTGGCTCACCTTACCCTGCCGTGCAGCCCCTTGTTGATCTGATTACCATCCCCATTTCTCTGATTGAATTTGGCAGAAAGTGATGCTCAGCCACCACTGGCAGCCGATAGCAAAGTGTCTCTTTGCCCCCACCCTGCTCAGCAGCACAGCAGCAGAACAGCTAGGAGAAAACGTGGCTTCTGAGTGCAGCCCAAGGAGGGCTGTAGGGACCACTCTGCCCAGCCCAGGCAATCACAGGGCTGCAGCAGGAGCAGCTGCTCTCGAAAGCGCTGGGAACCGACCTCCCTGCTACTGTTTTCATTTGGGGAGGCTGCTGCTTTGCCTGCCAATATTTACAAAGAGAAAATAGGGTTTAATCTCACGATGCTGGGAAAGGAGGATGCAGATGGCGTGAATGGGGTGTTTGTGACCAGATAAAGTGAGCAACTGAAGTGGCTGCCAGTGACTTTCTGCCTGCATTCGTCCCAGCATTTTGAAAAACATGTTATTGCAGGTGCTGCTCAGTGAGGTTAGTGGACCCTGCACCAGTACTGGAACCTGCATGAGAGCATGAGGAAAACATCAAGAGAAAAGGACTCAGAGTATCCAACACAAGCCCTAATTGTGCCCTGTTTCAGCCAGTGGAGCCCAAAGGATAATCCCTGCTCGCCAAGGTGTGAAAAGCTCTCTGCCACAGGGCACTCCCCAGGCTGAGCACACAGGGAAACAGCAGGCATGCAGGCAGCAGGCAGAGCTCCTGGGTGCCTGGCAGATACCAGCCAAAGGGGGGACATTGGCTCTGTGGCCCATTAATCAGCTCAGGACCTCCTGGAGAGCAGCTCCCAGACCCTACACACCAAACGCCCTGCTGCAAGTACATCCCTTGGTGCAGGACCAATTGCAGCACCAGGTGTGCAAGTGTGGTTCTATTCATGGCTGCAAAGCAAAGATATAAAAAGAAGGAGCCAGCCCCAGCCTGACACCTTCCATCCTTGAGCTCAGCAACCAGCCTGGCACAGGGACTGGTCTCATCTAGGACTGCTGGCACGGCCAGGTCCCTGGATGAACATTTCATAGAATCATAGATGTAGGGAATATCCCAGAGTTGGAAGGGAGCCACAAGGATCACCGAGTTCAACCCTGCAGAGCTTCCCTGCACAGATGAGCTCTGCTCCCTTCCCCAGCTCTGCTCCCTTCCCCAGCTCTGCTCCCTGTGGAATTTTTAGCAAGGTGGTGCAAGGCTCGCAGACTGGCCCCTGGCTCCATCATTCAGAGCTTGGTCCATGGCCAAACCCAGCAGAGATCCCAAAGGGGAAGTACCTCGGAAACGGACTCCAGACTACAATAGCTTTCAAATCGCAGAGAAAACCTTCTACTGGTAAAACAGCAAGCCCTGGGAATATCCTGTGCACAACACTGCCTTCATGCCCTGCAGAGCTTGGTCTGATGAGAAAGTTCAGTTTGCTCCCTTGCTGGGGGGGCCGTGGGGACCACATCTCTTCCTGTGTTTTTTGGACTGCTGGCACACTAGTGGTGCCCAAAACGCACATGCTGGCACTAACAGCATGGGTCCTGTGGAAAGCTGAGATGGCCAAAAGGTGAAGGGGGTCTCATGGGTGCTTGAATAGATGCACACAGAGCTGCCATTCATGGAGCAGAGTAATTCCTGCAGAGAAGTGTGGCTGTGTGGCTCATTTTCAGGTCAGGGAGACTCTATAACTGGAGATTGCATCCCATCCTTCCTTGCCACATCAAAGGTTGGCTGTTACAAAATGGTTTTCTCACTGTCCTCAGCCACAAAAGGGCAGGGAGCAGTGGAGCTGCCACGTCAGCTGCACATACCTGTGACACCTGGCTGAAGGGGTTCATAAGAAAACAGCCTTCACGGGAATCCCCAGCCCTGACACAAGCCACAGAGCTCCCTGGGCAAACACTGCTTCAGCAAACAGAGAACAGGTATACTGATTCCCATACTGCAAAGGCCGTTCTCTCTCAAGCAAGAAGGCTCAGAACCATCAGCCTCAGAGACAGTAATACTAAGCTTACCCACCTGCTGCAGAGACAGCCCAGGGTCCCTCCATCCCCAGCATCGCCCCCAGAGACAAAGCTCCAGCTCCCCTCTCTAAAATCACCCAGTGGTGCCTGTGTCAAAAAGCTCTCCATTACTTTAACTGCTTCTTATCAGATGCCCTTTTTGCCAACACCCAGTAAACGTGACCACAGAATTAGAGCTAGAAGAAAAATTTTAGAATTTCTGCTCTAAAATATACATTTCATGGTCATCTCAGAACTTGGATTGATGTCAAAGAGCAAAGATTCACACAACCAGGGAGGCAAAGTATATTTTTGATTGTTTCTCCAATAGGGGAACAAACACTGCCTGCTCCAAAGAGATCTCATTTGGGAGCTGCTGTAATGCCTGGATATGGGTTGTACCAGCCTGGGGCTTCTGGTACTTGTATCACTCCACGTCAAAGCCAGGTGAATGCACACCAGCAAAATATTCAGTGTCCCAGGCAGAGGAGCAGCTTAGCCAACAGCTCCAGAGCCACGGCTTTGTGTGCTTTGGCTCAGGGCACACATCAGGAGAGCACTGGCTTGGACCAAAAGAATGTCATTTGAAGGACAGATCCTTCCAATACAACTGCAAGCATTACAGCTGCACTGAAATTTGGGGTACATGCTGGAGGTGCAGGGTAGGACTGCATCAGCATTTGGAGTAATCTGCACATTACCTCCTTAGCATTCCTCAGAATGTTGCCAGTCTTGCACTGGTGTTACCTCCCTGATCTTGCAATTCAGGCTGCAGAGCTCAGACTTCTCAATGCTGTGCACAGGGAACCCAGCAGCTGGGATCTACCATCCTTTTGGTGGAGGAAAAAGGAAACTTTCATTTGAGACAGAGTTAAACTGTTGCTGTAGACGTGAGGTGGCTGAGGGACGTGCAGGTTGAACATCCAGATGTGAGCTGGGTGACCCGAAGCGATGCGTGCTACAGGCCCACATGGTGCAGAGCCCAGCAGTGAGCAACTACCTGCAGGACACCAGGAAGCAAAGGAGAAGTCCAAGAGCAGGAAGGGATTCCTTAGCCCAGGACCAGCTCAGTGTGTAGAGGAAGGGAGTCCCCCCAGCACCAAATAGGACCATGAGCAGGAAGGGAGCACATTTTGCCTTCTCTCACCGTGCATCAAATTAATGCAATAAAACTGACAGGAGCAGGCAATAAGGAGTGTAGATATTTATTTTTTTTTTAAACTTAAGTCCCTAAGTATGACAGACTCCAACGTTTCTAACCTTGGCTGTAGTGTTTGCAGAGTTTGTGACTCTTGGGAGAGATGAACTATGAAATCCCACAGGATCTTCCACATTCCTGCAGCATAACATGCCCCAGCCACAAGCTCACCTGGCAAACAACAGAGCCCATGAACCTGACAAACAGTATCTCTTTAGTTATAGCAGATGAGAGGAAATGAGACAACTTCAGCTGAGCACACAATCCACAGACAACCACACTCACTCCCATCCTGCACACAGTACACAACGCCAGCTGACACTGATGGAGTGTTCTAGGAGGGATGAAGGCATCACTCAGGCTGCTCCAGCCCCACCAGGGAGCTGAGGAACTCAGAGGGTTCCACACAGCAGAGCCCAACCCAGGCCACCAGATCTTCAATAATGTCCGGAAATGGGAAAAAGGAAACAGGTCCCTTGACTTTGACTCACTGCCAAAACCATCCCATTTTGGGTGGAAACAAATTCAGCCCCAAATGCAAGTCTTACAGTTGTCACTTCTGGGTCACAAGAGAGCGATAGAGAATTTCTCATCTGTAGCTGACTGTATCCCAAAAGTTTATCACTAGTGGTGCCATTCTTCCATTGCAGGAGCTCATGGCCACCAACTGCCCTTTCCCCAAGAGGCCTTTCTCACTTCTGACCCTCGCAGACCTTTGAGTGCAAGCCTTTCCCCATGGTCTATGGAAGCCGCATTAGCTTTCACCCACCCTAATGACTAACCCCACTGCTCCAGCACTGATCTGCCCCTGTATCACCTCCTGCTTCCCCAAAGCTTCCAGCTGCATGCACACGTAATGATTGCTGGTTTTACCATACCAACACAGTTCTGAACATTCTGAACATACCATTCTGAACACAGTGAAGCAAGAGCCAGGTTTCCCAGGTTCTCTCAAACAGAGCAATGCTTACAGGAGATGATGCTGAGGTATAAACCCAGAGTTTTTAAAGCATTGGTTACACATTACCACCATTTCCTGTCTTTTTAGGTTTTCAGGCCAAGCGTTGCATCACAGCAAGGCAAGAGCCTCTGAGGGCATCTGCTCCAGTTGTTCTCTCTTTGCACCTCTCTCTCCGTCAGTAATAACACATCTCTATGTCCTTGACCAAACAAATCCACCATAGCTGCTCTGTTGTGCTGTGCAGGTTTGATGTCAGCACCTGGCAGCCCCTCCACCTTTGTCCCCATTACTAAACCATCTGTCTACCTACCTCCTATGTCTGCCAAAAAGTGCCCCAAAAAGCGCCTAGCTGACTGCTCTGATGACACGTCCAGAACTTCAAATTTACATAGATACAGACTGCCTGCCATGCCCCTGAGCCCTTACGTCCTCTGCAAACTGCTTGTTCAGGTGCAGATTCCCTGCACAAAAATGGGAACCTGAAGGGAATTAAAATTCGCAGTGCTCTGTCCTGGGATACTTTGGGAATTAATTGTCCCATGGAACAATCCAGGATATCTTCAGTGAAGAGCTGTGCACGCTTACACAGTATTGCCCCTTACAGCAGGGGTTCAACTCAAAGAGAGAGCTGTGCTAAATGTGCCCCTGCCAGCACCTGGGAACGGCCTCATTGCCTGAGGATGCAAATGGGAGCAGTGCCTGTGGGACCACACAGTGCAGGGATGTCCCCTCACACACCCAGGGTGGGAAACAAACCCAGGCAATGTCATTTCTGTAATGTTTGCCCACAGGATCTCTTGCCTGGACAAACCAACATCAAGCCCAGATGCAAGCATTAATTTGCTCAGGTCTGTAAGTGTGCTCACTGCAGCAGGCCAACAAGTATCTGCTGGAAAGATTTTCTGTCAGAGCAATTTCCCCGGAGAAACACCAGTGTCTGCAGATGAAAACTGCCAGAGAAAACAATCGATTTTGCTAGCGCTTTTACAGTAAAAAACTCAATGAGCTCTTTGATTTTAAGTCAGTTTGGTCTGAACATGTTGGGCTCGAATCAAAAAATCTCAAACAATGCAATAAAACCCTGCTTTGCAGTTTCCTATCGGTGGGATATTTCCGGAGCAGGGAAGGGCGTGAATGCAGTCCTGGAGCACACTCACACCCCAGGACAGGTTCCCTGGGGGCTGCTGCTTCTCACCACGCAGGGGATGCTCCCCATCCCATGCTCAGCGTTTCCCATGCAGGAGGCTGCGTGCCCCACTATTTGCAGGACCTCAAGACGCTGCAAACTCACAACCTGCAGTGTCTGTAAGAGAAACACCACTCCTGCTGTAGGCTGCACCAGGTGATGGAGATCAGTTTGCCATCTGGCTGTCAATGCCCATCATGCTCACAATTTGAGGTTTGTGAGTGATTTATTTACATGTGATTAGACAGGATGACTAGCAGCAGCTCATCTCATGACATATCATTTTCCCTGAAGGCTGGAATATTCTTTTTTGTTTAAAATAAAGAAGCAACTCCTAGAGATTTTGATACCTGCTTCCATTTTGGATTGCATTGGATCCAAATGCAAAAATGTCACCTTATGGTGCAAAATATCACTCTAACCCCCTAAATGAGAAAGGAGCTAGAGCTCAAGACCTGGCAAAGCACTATTCCTACAGCAAACGCCAAGCCCAACAGACTCCCTTACAGCTCACAGCAGCATTAAGTGCATTAAAGCCCATTGCAGATGATTTGCAGGTAAGAAGCATTGGTACAAGAGCTTCCATCGACAGTTAGCTGTGTCACAGCAGTGTGAGGGACCTGTCTGCTCAGGTCACAGGGACAGAGGGGCTCAGGCAATGACCAGCACCAAGCCCAGCCCATCAGCTCCATCCCAGGACAATATGCTGCTGACCACTGGCTGCAAACTTCAGGACAGGAGAACATCAAAAGAAGAAATGTCCGTCAGGGTGACATGGGGCATAAGAGGGCATCCACACGAACATCCTTCCCTTCTGCACCCTTCCTCTAAGCTCTCTAGCTGCTACAAGTTGTCAGGGGTGGGCAGTTGGACAATTACATCAGGACCCAGACACAGAGCACTGCTGCACTCCATCTGTGAGACCATGAGGGCGCCAAGGCCATCGCTGTGCTGGGGATACCCTCCCACAGCCCTCAGGTACAGCCAGCTGCTCTCTGTGGCACAAAATCCTTGCAGGTAGAAACCCTCTCATTCCCACAGACAAAGAATGTGGGCTTTGTGTGAGGTGACTCACAGGAACATGGTTGTGACTCAGGGGACATCACAGCCCCATGTGCCAGTTCAACACAGGGGTGCAGTGCTGGGTCCCAGCCCCAGCTTTTGTTTAGCAGCAGATCAGGCCACAAAGCCCCCAACTGCAGACATAACCTTAGCAGCACAAAGCAATGCTCTCCAGCCCAGCAAGGTATCCAAGCTATGCCATACCTACATGCACAGGACTGCCTTTGGAAGGGACTGTCCCCTCCTTCCCACCCATAGGCTCCTTCATTAACCCAAGCTCACATCCATGAAGCCCAGCATCTGCTCTGTCCAGCCCCCAGGGTTGTGGTCTGTAGGTCACAATTTCCCAGCAGTGCTTGTGGGGGCATCAGCATGGCACTGTCCTGCCTGCACACCTGCTGACTCATTGGCATGTCCCAGTCCTTCTGCATCTCAGCTTCCCCTCTTTAACCAAATGTGCCTGTTGCCAGAGCCTCCGACAAGCCTAGAAATTAACTAGCACAGCACTGGGTTTGAGCACACACTGCTAGGTGTGGCTCTAGGCTGCCTGCCCTGAAATGCCCTGGGCAGACAGAAGGAACAAGAATGGTTTTACAGAGACCATAAACGGGGCCTGCAGGAAAGAAGAAAGTTTCACATTTCATATTTCAATCAGCAGAGCCACAAGAGCCAGGGCCACTGCAGCCCATCAGGAAAAAGCTACACCCCTCACTACATCTCGCCAAAGAGGAGCCTTCTCCTCCCACAGTCCCATGAAACGCAGCCACTGCTCATTTGGTTACTTTAACTCAGGGCCCCAAAAAAACCCTAAATTAAATGTCAGGCTCCAAATGCATTTTTCCAGGCACACGAGAAGATGCAGGAATGGGATCAGCAGGCAGACACTGGTCTCTGTGCTGAGCAGGCAGCTCCTGCCCAACCACCCCAAGAAGAAATAAAGACAAGGAAGGAGCAAGGGTGGACCTTCAGCAGAGCTGTCGGCGCACGGTTACGCAGCCAGCTGAGCTCTGGCCCCACTCCCACCCGCCCAAGGTGAACAACTTCCACCCCGGGCGTTTTTATCCAACTTTCACAATAGCTTATTATGTTGCGTGGCTGCTGAGCAATGTGTGCCTTTTCTCCTCGGTGCCCTGGGGATCTTTCCCAGACCCAGATTTCCACCCTGAAAATGCAAGGCCTTGAAGCCAGGAACAAACTGAAGTCAGTTGAAAGGAAAAATAAAAATAAATAAATAAATAAATAAATATTATATATATATTAACGTCAGCACCCAGTGATTAGGGAGGACCAGCCACTGTGAACCAATTCCGCAGTCTCCTTGGCTGCTTCCCAACACAAAAGTAACTGTGTCAACGTCTGAATGACCTCAAATCCGTTTAAAGCATTCAGCCATGCACGTTTTTAGAGCTACAATTGTGTGTCTCTTACACTGGGCTTCCTTATTTTATTTGAGGGTTTCAAAGCTGGGTGCTTGAAGACAAGAAGAGGAAGATGTCTAACACATAAAGTGAGAACAGCTGTCACAGAACCCTTGGGTGAAAAAACTCCAGGAGAAATTGGAGGGGAGCAGCAGTGAGTAAGGTACACAGGGGAAGGGAAAAGCAAGCCTGTCTTGGGGTTACCAATCCTCTCCCAGCTCAGATTCCTCTTAGCAGCCTCTTATTAATATATTCTGGCTACGGCCATCATGTTTCCTTTCCAGAACTCTGACAAACTAATAAAAAAGGAAGTTAAAATCAACCAGCTCCAGCAAAAAGAAGCAAGTTGTTAGTACGTGTCCAGCTCCTACTGGAAAGTTAATTTGGAACAGCAACACTCACCTCTGCAAGGTACAGGATGCAGAATTTCCTATCTTCCGAACCTACAAAGAAGAGAAATCAGGATCAAAATTAAGCTACAACTGCATTTCTGCGAGCAGAGACACTGCAGAGGAATTGGCTAAGAGACAACTTTCAATGAATATTTATTGTTGTCATCCCCCAGTACCAGGCTGTGCTCTGGGAGTGATGTATGCTGCATCTGCAGGACCATGCGTCACACAGGCTGCACTTGCGTGGTTTTCTTGCACGGGCTTACTGCACGACCACAGATCCTCCCATGAGTCCTTTTGGAAAGAGGTTGGACTTGCTCGAAGGCCTTACCTGGGCTCTCCTGCCTCATCTCCCACAGCACATGCAGCCCAATCCTTTTGCAGGTACCTGGGCACCAGGGTCAGATTTCGCTACACTCTTATAAAAGCTTTGCTCCCAGGAGGACGCACGAGAGCAGCTTCTATTCCTACATCCTTGCTCATTCTCAGCTTTTCCCCTTGAGCCATTATAAAGGGCGGCCATAGCTCTGCCTGGTGCTGTTTGTCCCATTCTCCATCACTGCCAAGAGCTAGGGCCAGTGCTTCTCTGAGCAGATGGAGCCAAACCCCAGGGCATGGGGAAGCAACAAATACAGGGCATAAGGAAGAGCCCAACCTGCTCCACAGGGCTAAGGGCTGCTCCCCAAGCTGCCTCCCAGGGCTTTGGGAAGGGAGATGGTGCTGGTTGCTTCCCATCAGGAATGCTGTGCCAAGGTCTGTCCTCTGCCTTTGATCCCCACCAGCAGGACACAAAGCTCCCCAGCCCCAAGAAAAGCTCTAAGGGCACATCACCTCACAGGAGGACACAAAGCCAGCACAGAACAGGGCCCCTCAGCTCCAAAGCAGGACATCCCACACCCAGAGCCAGCTATGCCACTGCAACGCCCCCCAGTGTGCCCTGCCAAGGCTTTGTCCTCGCTAGCGTGCAGCACTGCCGGGCAGCAGCTTTCACAACCTCTTTAATGATGTTATCTCTGCCGTGAGATCAGCCCTGCAGTCTGGACATGGCTGCAGAACCTATCTGAAGCATGAGCTCTGCTTCATTTCAACATCCTACGCTGTGCAAGCAATGGGAGCAGGCTCTGCATGGTGGTGGAAGTGCCCCACTGCCAAGGACTGCAGCACAGCAATCGACACAGGGCCATGACCACCAAAGGGCCACCTGAGTCCCTGCAAAGGCAACATGAAACCCATGAGCAAGTGCTCATAGCCATGTGTTGGACAATTCCAGCTTCCCTTTGCGGAGAGCAGGCAAGGCGATGTTGGAGTGTAACAGCCTGGGGTAAGTGCCCACTCTTTGAGCCTCTGGGCATTCCTTCTGGCTTTCTGCAGTAAGGAGCGACTTTTGGTTTCAGGTTGATGCATCATGACAGAGACTGGATTATCTCTCAGGGTAACCTGATCCATTCCTGCCCCATGGCTGGGCTGGTTCAGCACAAGAGGAACACGTGGTTTATTTTAGGAGTACATCCCCTCCCCAGCTAAGCCCTGCACACTCATGCTGGCACAAGGGGGGGTGATACACAGCTGCCAGTACACAGTGGCTGTCAGCACCATTCTGCCCACCTGCTCTGTGCAACCAATGGAAAGTACCCTCTGTTTGCAAGGCTTAGGTGGTGCACACCAGGAGTTGGGTCAAAAAGACGGGAGTAGGAAATTGGCCCTGCCCCTTTTTTACCATCTCCTTGCACATTAGAGGACACTGACAATAACCACGGCAAGGGCACCCTGCTCCCCAGCCTGCTCAGTGAGGACAGCACTGCATATAAGACCCAAATTTTGCAGACCAAAGCCCCAAAAATCAGTCTGGACCTTTGGATGTCTTAAAGCTGTTTGCTGCAGGACACAGTGCACTGGGATGTAGGAGACAGCAGATCAGTAGCACCCAGCCTAGGGATGGGGCTCACAGGCAGGGTGCTCACTCAGGCTGCTACATGGGATCTCTCCTCCCTGTCCTCAAGCCAAGCACACCCACCCAGGGGCTGAGACCACAGCAAGGCAGCAGTGTTAGCATGGAAATTCCCACCGCATCTAGCAAGGAAGCCAGCCCTGTCGCACTGGAAACATTGGCCAGTGTGGTGCTCATCAGCCATGCTCAGCTTCTAAAGCAGGAAGACAGAGCATTGTAAAGCAGATTATACTGATTTGCTTTCGCACAGTGCAGTGAGAGGCAGAAACAGGAAACATCACAATGGTCTTCAGTGTACCGGAGATGTCTCAATTGTTATACTCAGCAATACGCCTGTTCCTATTAATGTGCCATTCAGTTATGAGGAGACCAACAGAAAACTCCTGCCAAAAGGGACAGACATCTCTTTGCTTGTTCCACCCGCCTTGAAGCAGCCCTACCCGAACCTGCCTCAAAACTGACTGTGCTGGATTCCTGGTGTACAGGGGGGGTCTGGTGCGGCACAGGCAAACATCCCCTTCGAGAGGCTCGTTGAGCTCCTCCAGATGTGATTCCAGTTATTAAGGTAACAAGGAAATAAGCAGCAGAAAACTGCTCACAGAACCCAATGATCAGCTGGAGGCCAGGAGGCACACTCTCATGCTGACCTGCAAACACACTCAGTGTACAGAGCTGCTGCACCACAGGGTGAACGCTGGGGAAGACATTTTCTTCCAGGAGAACAAAAGCAGTGCAGCAGCTTTGAGAGCAGCCAGGAACCACACGTGCACTGGAGCAGATGCTGACCAACAAGCACTTCAGCAAGGAACAATTTCTTTTGTTCTTTCCTTGTTAATAAGCAGTGCTGAGAACAAACTCAACAAATCTCAATGAAGCTCAAGGGCTTTTCTAAACAGCTTGAACTCTCCATGTTCCTTTTTCTCCTCACTGCCCCCACCAAATATGTTAGGAAATGAATCTGGGAACAGAAAAGTTGTTGTAAACGGGTAATAAGAGATGGGCAGCCCACTGTGCCATTGCAGATCCCCAGTACAGAGGTTTCTATGTTGTGAGGCATGCAGAGAGTCACAGCTCCTTGCCAGAACTATTTGCTCCACCGGGGAAAATCATGGGAAGTGACAAAAAGATCCTGAAAACTATTCCTTATGGAAAAGCAGACAAGCTCTGGATTAATCTCTCTTGATCAGAGCCACAGGACTGCGAGAGATGTCAGTTCATACAGTCACAGAGTAAGGTTGGGCTGGAAGGAGCCTCTGGACATCTCTATTCATGCCCCTGCCCAAAGAACCCAGGTTGCAGCGCTCAGTACCACGTCCATTGGAATCCCAAACATCTCCAAAGCTCTTTGGGCAACCCAGGATTTGACCACTCTGGTTACAGAAAATCTCTTCCTCTCATCCAATCATGGCTTTTCTTGTACAGTCCCCAACGATGCTGTCTGGGCTTGAGGAGGCAGCAGAGCCCCCGCCCTGTGCTGATAGATCAGGCAGCTGTACACAGAGCAAGCCCATGGCCAAACAGCCACGGCACCAAAGAAGGAACATGATGGGATTGGAATGGGGCCAAGAAGTGGCTCCACTATAGGAAATAGGATGTGGCAGGGCAATTTGTTCGTTCCTCTTTTGACCCTAGGTAGCTGAGGTCATCTTTTGTACAGCCTCAGAACTCAAAATAACTTAATTCAAGCCACCCCCCTGCCCTAAGAACCCTCAGCTGGATGTGAAAACTTAACCAAGGCAAAGCAAGCAACATGCAGCCCACAGCCTCCCACCAAAGGCCAGGGTTTGTTCTTTCTTCACCAACGTGTGCTCATGGGGGAGGGATGCCAGTGAGGGAAGCTGTGGGTGGCTGAAGGAAGAAGCAGTGAAGTAAAGGTCAGTAGGGCTCAGCTCCTCTGAGTTCTCTCAAGGCACTGTAGGGGTGAACCTCAAAACTTCACTTCCCTTTGCAGCCCCCACTGCAGGCTGGGTGACAGCAGCAAGAGGAGCAGCCCAGCCGAGCAGAACTCTGGGGAGCACAGCCCAGAATCCCTGAGATAGGCCTGCAATGTGCTACCAGGGCACACCTGGGGACAGAGCTGCTGGGGACTGGGTTAATGTTGGGCTGGGAAGGGTGGTGCTGGACTTACAGTCCAGCACAGGGAGGTTGGCAGCATGCGTTAGCCAACACTGCTACAAACTGGAAGCAATGGGATAGTGGTGTGCTACCCTGCCGTCTAGAGATCCTTAACCATGAGCCCAGAAAAAGCCCCAACACCTCCAACCACTGCAGCAAACACTCACCCTCCTGGAGCTTGACACTCTGCAGGTAGAGAGGGTTCCTCAGTACATTGCAACATCCAGGCTCGTCCTCCTTGGTGAAGAGCAGCAGGTCAGAGTAGACGAAGAGAGTCACCTGGATAGCAGAAGAGCAGCAAAGGAGACGTTATGAGGAATCCATCTCCTTGCACTCAGTTCCTTGGGAAAGGCCCTGCATGCCAGGGAGATGCACTAGCCAGCAGCAACCCAGGCTCCTGCCCTAAGGGTGCTGCATGCCACAGGGTATCCCCAGCAAGCCCCACACAGGGTCCACTGCTTGGTAGTCACCTCCCAAGGCTTGTGCAGTCCCGTGACAGGAGGGGTAAACCTGCCCGACAGTGCAACGTCGCACAAACACACCCCCTCTGCTCTCTCGTGTCACTTCCCATTTACATAAGTTACAAATCAGGGGAGCAGAAGGACGGAATGAGTTGCCAACTGATCTCAGCACATTACAGAAACTGCAGCCTAAAAGCAAATGCGATTCCCCTCAACGTGCTCAGGAAGGGGCTCCTCACTGTTTTCACTCTTTGTATGTCCAGTTTTACTACCTTTGAAGAGGAAAAAAAAAAAAAACCCACTTAGTTTTTACAAAAGCAGAACCTATGGGAACGTTTGCAGGGAACATACTTGATACCATTAAACCACTTTGAGAGGTATAAAGCAAATACTGCACTGCATATCTGCCCAGCTCTATGCTTGAGCAGTGACTCAAGTGCTGGAAACTGGGAGCTTCTCCAGTGGAATGCGCTCACAACTCAACAGGCAGATTTTGCTCTGGCTCTTGAGGTCCCTCATTTGATCAGTAGAGGTGATGGTGATTCTTAAAGTAAGAACCAGCTGCACTGCAGATCCTTGACCCAGCAGCCCCATGAGATGAGTGACACGAGTCAAGGGCTGAGCCTATCCTGCTCTGCAGCACAAGCTTGGGGCATGCAGCAAGGCTCAAGCTGATGCCAGAAAGTGGCTGCAAGATGCCAGTGGGCACACTGGATGCTGAATGCTCTGCAAAACATCAACACATGCTCTGTTCTGGTCACAAGACACAGCACAGGAGCACACAGCTGCTATTAACCACTCCTGTGGATGCCCCCAGACATACCCCAGCACAAAGGGAAAGACGCTTTGCAGCAGTGAGCAGCAACAAGGAGTGTTCTCTGACCTTTTAGCAACTTACTTGCAAAAGCAGAAAAACACCCAGCATCCCACAGGCTGGCAGCGCTGCCACCAAGTCACTCCTTGAAAGGTGACTTTGCTCAGGACAGGGGCTCAGTCACTGTTTATGGGGACACACAGCCAGCACAGTGTGTCTCTGCCCGCCAGCTGACAGGCACGTGTCAGAGGGGACAAACTGGGCAGCAGTTTATCACATGATGCTGAGACTCGCGTCAAGGCAGTGCATTCAACTTTTCAACCAAAATCAAGTCCTTGCCACAAGAGTTCTTGCTCTGCAAACTCATTTTTGTGGGATTCTTAATAAGCAGAAAGCTCCCACCACAACTTTAATGGGCAATTAAAGCAGGGAGCATCTGTTTCTCTCTGTACCATTTGGAAAATCCCTTCCCTTGCTCTCAACACTGTTGTTCCCCCTCTTCATTACCTCTGGCATTATTACAACTAAAACAAGCACAAAGTGCACCATAAACTTTCTCTCATGCGTTTCTTGCTTCACAAGATTCCCGTTCTGGGACACATCCAGTGCCATTCCAGATCTCTCAGTGTCAAAGAGATGTTCAGGGTTTTTTGACAAGAGCAGTGAAATGGAGGAAACAGAAGCATGACCAGCAAGTGATAAAAGTGGAAGTGGAGGAAAGAAAATGTAGACCTAATGCACATGGAACTTTAAAGGGAAGAAAAAGGGACAGAAGGATTAGCAAGGGAGAAAAAAAACTGCTTTGAAACCAAATAGACTTAAATGGGGAATCATGGACACAATCACATAAAGAAGCATTTGCAGGTAACATTGTGCTTTAACGAGAAGATGGGACTGATTGAATTCAGGATGCAGAAAAGATAAAAGCACAGCTGGTATGGGTTAGGTAAGAGCATCTCCATTAGATGCTGCTTCCTGGAAGACATCTGATTTTTGAGCAGCTCTGCACAGCAGGAGATCTAAAGGGGGTTATAGAGCTTCTGTGAGCCACAGGGGGACAAAGCAAGGGCCAGGACTCAGCATATCCCTCTCACAGAGCTGGGAGTGGGACCTCCTGAAACTAAGCCTGGGTGAGCCCCTAGTAGCAGCTGTCAGCTGGTGTGAGAGGGGAGGGCTGCAGGGAGCATCTGGAGCTCAGCCTGGGGTGGGCATCACGTGTCTGACGTGCCTCCAACAGCCCCTACGACAGATATCTGGTATCTGCCATGTGAAATCATAGGGCTCAAAGAGTAAGAGAGCAAACAGAAAGGAAACAGTGCCTGGATTCATCCGGGAACAACAGAATCCTCCAGTGCTGCTCCTGGAAGAGTCAGAGTACCACCGTCTGTTTCTCAGAACTGAGTTTCATACCTCAAAATGAGACAGTAAACAAATGGGATGATGAAAGGGCTCCTCTGAAGAAAAGGATAAGCACACCTGTGTCATTATTCGAGCTGAAGGCCACACAGCTGTTGTCATACAGACTTTTCAGTGGCTGTGAGCAGACTTTACAAAAAATCTGTTTGTAGAGGTCGGCACTGGTGTTCATCTGTGTGAGTTCTGCACCACGGCAAACCACAGAGCCCCTTTGGCTCATAGATCTGACTCTTCCTACACAGTAAAGTTGTTAAATCATTGTTACTGAAGGAAGAGGTACATTTAAAGAGTCTCCTAAAAGAAAACAAGAGAAAACGAAAGCCAGGAGATAAGGTGGAAGGCAATGAGTCGGTATGCTTCCCCAAGATGAGAACAGAATATCACAGAGCCCTGCAGAAGGAAGGTCATCACCACACCTCATCAAGAAAGCATGGTAACAAAAACATGATGAAAAGGTGTCTGCAAATTAAGCCTTGCAGCCCAAGTATCTCTGCATTCAAGCGTAAGAATAGATACCCCCATCCTGTACACACAGCAAGCCATTGCCATTGGGGTTACAGCAGGGAGGAGCTGGCACTTGTCACTGCAGCAGTGTATCAGCAGAGACACCGCAGGATGGGGCATGCAGACCCTGCCTGCTGAGCCAGGCTGCATTCCAAGACATTTTCCTTTTCTCTTGCTGTGGTTCCGCAGCCATGCCCAGCAAAACAAAGGGAGATCTTCTGCAACAAAGTTGTCAGATACCAAAGGAGAACACGACGATGATTCCCTGCATGGCTGGACAGAGAATGCTGTCTGCAATTGGCCAGAGCAAGCCCAGATATCTTGAACAGACATCTTCTGATCCACACACACTTTGTATATGTTTATCAGCATGGGACCTCCTCCGACAGAAATGGGTGCAATCTCAAAGACAAAGCCCAGTTACAATAGTATGAACTTAATGTGCCCAATTTGCTGGGTCAAGTTAAATGGATTAAACTGCCTTTAATTTTCTTCAGATTTTCCAGATCTACACATATTTTCATAATGCTCTTATGTGCCCATCCTCTAGGAAGCAGATATCTCTGCTGGGCTACCAGACCACAACTAACATAGCTCCCCACATACAGAGTGTGAACAGTTGTATTTGCTGCTCCTGTGATCACACGCTCCAAAGTCACAACTTTCTGGGCTGCAGCTTCACAATGGCAGTTATTCACTTGGTTTTTGCAGAGACCATGGGATTAGGATCCCAGGAACAAAAATAATCAAGCTCCCACAAGCTTAGTATGTTGGCATTTATCAGAGCCACCATCTAACTGGGGAAGTGGCCTAAGCTTTGCAGAGGGAGTAGGTGCGTGCTGCCAGGCATGGTGATTTGGAAATGGGCACAAGCTCCGCAGGTCAGGGAATCTTTACCACCCACAGAGAGATATGGCAAAGCCTTTGGGCCACTGCTTTACACACTGTAGCCCTAACTCTCTAAGCACGCTCTATTGCTCCTGGATTTTGACTTCCAAATGTGTCCACTCTAAAGCATGTTTCCTTCTAAGACATCCCAACACTCTATTAACCCACAATGTGCTTAGAGTCTTCTACCACCTCGTGCATTTTTGCTGTCAAGATTATCAGCAATATACTCAGCAAGGAGTTCACATGCTCAACTAGAATTCAATGAAGACACGTGACCACACTCACCAAAAGCAGATCCATGGTGGTGCAGGCTCCAACTGTCAACCTGGAACCTCACCTTGGTTAACTAGAATCAAAGGACCCAAAGGGTCACACACCACACTCAAGCATCAGCATAAGCAGTGGCTCTGCAGATGAGGAAATGATATCACCTGAGAATATAAAGAGGCAGTAGAAATGAAAGGACAGAGCGAGAGGAACTAGCGTGGTGAGGTAGGAGGTAAGTGCAAGTTTCTGGTTTCTCACCCAAAGGAAACTGTCTAAAAACAGATCATGAAACATCTGTGCCAGAGAGTAGGGTTTTCGTTAACCCACTGTGTAGGCCAAACCCACCCACTGAAACTGGGAGCTGTCAGATCCAGCTAGGGCTCAGAGTGACAAGCATTTGTATTCAGCACTTGGGACAGAAGACCCTAGACAGGCCAGTCCCTGTTCCCCAGGGCTCAAGGGAGGGCTATCCTGACCTACAGACCTGCCAGGATGGCAAAGCAAAGAGCTGAGAAGGGGTTGAGTGCGATGTACTTTATAAAGGTTCCTCAGGGCATCGAAAAATTGCCTCCAGGTGCAATACAAAAACATCAAAAAGGACAAAGCCTGCATCCAACACCTTGCACGTCGTTGTCTGCGTTGTGCTGGTTCCTCTGGCACTCTGCAGGTTGGAGGGATTTCAGAACACCATAAAAATGGGAATTGCAACAAAGTCTAGACAGGATGTGATTAAGGCCTGAATAAGGATTGCCCCAGTGGTAAGGTCAGAGAAAGGACAGATCCTGGCAAACCTCCAGAGAGATAGGTTGTGTCCTTCAGGAGATGGGAGAGGGTTTGCTCAGTGACAAGGATGCACTGCCAGACATGGAAACTACCAAGGGGAAAAGATTTTGGTTCAAAAAAATAAGTATGACACAGCATCTCAATTTCTAGCCCCTGCACCCAGGCTTTCTTCTTTTCAGCCACTTGGGCAAAGCAGAATGAGATGCAAAAAGAAGTCCTGTAAAGTGTAGAACTCCAATTTGAGGGGCTGCAAGGGAAGCACAGTGAGAAATGGAAAGTCATGTGGAGCAAGGAAGAAAGGACTCATGAGAAACGAGACAGCAGAGAAGGGAGGAGTGGGAGTAAGCTGAAGTCCAGTGAAAAGAGAAGTAAGAGTCCTTCTGCATCAGGGAAATTCCTCTGTGGCCAGGCCACCTGGGGTCTTGTTGGCCTCAAAAGTTCATCCAAAGCCCTGTCAGGACTACAGCAGACATTCTTGCTCCACAGGAGCACATCAGTCCCTCAAAGCTCTGCAAAGCCCTGCAGTGAAGCTGTGACACACCACAGACAGGAGGCAGCCATTCCCCCAGAAACACAGCTGATTGTCCTGGTGTCGCTTCCTACAGCTGTTGGCTCCTGGCAATACTGGGCTCAGCACCACACCTGGGTTCACACTGAGGGAAAGGCTCCTGCCTCCCAAAGCAGTCTGCCACATGCTTTCCATTCACTACTTCTGTTCATTTCACTGTGCTTAGTCACAGCCTCTTTCCTTGTCCCTTGGCATGCAGAGTTATAACAGCCTCAAGGCACCATCATTCTCAGAGGCTGTCTAGTGCTCCTGGCCACTGTAGAGCATCCTGCCCTTCCCTGGCAGCAGCTCCAACTGGGAAATCCTCTTCCCAGCTGCACACTCACCCTCCTCAGGGCATCATTAGCAAACAGAGAACCCTTTCCCTGAGGCATCCTCCTAACCTTCTCCGCAGCTGGGTCTCCAAAATAGCTAATGTGGCCATTGGGCAACAGAGCAGCACACCTCCTGCAAACATGATCATCCTGAGACTCTGCTTCATCTACCTTCAAACATCCTTGTACATACAAACATGCTTCACCCAGGCTAAAAATGGCATTAGTTACTCAGACATAGTTTACATTTGGCTGCTTTTACAGACCTCTGAGGCAGACCTGAAAGTAAGGAACACAAACCCACATAGGAGAAGTATCCTGAACACAGGCTGGCCACCATACTTCCAACCACCTTAGCACCACTGTGCTACACAGCCATGTGTTTTATTTGTTTTCATTCACACACACACCCTGAAGACCCTGATGAGCAAAGAGGAGCAGGACAGGCAGGGGAACAGTTTTATCTACAAATCAGTGACAAGTTTCCTGGTGAGTGATGCAATTTTTCATGTAATCAAGCAGAAAAAAAGAATTAAGACAAAATAAGGGATGAATTACATGCTGAAAGCCAAAGAGAGCAAAGAAAGTCCTTCAGCACAGTCTCGAGAAGTTTTCTACTAGCCAGCAATGCAATATGTTACAGGGATTCTGCTGTCAGCCACCCAGAAAACATTACACAAACTAAATTACTCAAATGAAAGTTCCTCTGTGGCTCTGTGAAGATGACACGCTGTTCAGTCCAACTAAATTAAAGCATGTGTGTTCTGTGCAGTAGATTCACTGACAATGCCCCAGAAGGCACTGTCACTGTTCAGCACTGCTGAGCAATGCCCAGCTGAGCAGTTCTGGCTGCCCAATGCACTGTGCCATTCACTGAGATACCTCCCCTGTCCCAAATCCCACAGTTTAGACCTCACTGCTGGATACAAGCAAAGCCAACAGAAATGCACACAACAGTACAAACCCTGCTGGTTTGGCTGTTGAAAGCTGTGACATACATGGGTTCAGCATGTCACCAAAGCTTAGTTGCTTCCCCAAATTTTTAATATCCCTCCTAACATAGAATCATTTGAGTTGAAACAGACCTTTAAAAGTCCTCTAGATCAACTCCCTGCACTACAGAAAAGAAGTTGAAATAACAACAGTGGAGAGGATTTCAGACAGGACCTTTAGGAGCTAAACTTCTAAAAAAGCCCCATAATGCATTCTATGGCTAGATCTCTACACTGGCACAAAATATTCCTAATTTCCCTCTTTCTAGATCTGCCAGAGGATTGGTCATGTGCATTTTCTCCTTCATGAGCATGAAGAAAAAGGTGATTTCCAGCAAAATAAATAAATAAAAATAATATACAGCCCTGACATTTAGTTTATCCCAGCACAATTCTTTCCAACTACAAATTCTTTCCAACTATCGTACCAATAAAAGTTCAGCAAAGAAGTGCATTCCCCTTCTCAATCCACCATATGAGTCTGCAGAAAAGCGAATTTAGAAAGCTCAGGCAGCACTGAAGTAGCCTTACCTGGATAGTCCTGCTTCTGCTCTCGTGAAGCAGCAGCTCCTCCGACAGAAGCAGAGTCCGGGCTGGGTTACAGAGATCTAAGGGCTACATTTGAAATGGAAAGAAAGAAAAAAAAGAAACAGTCAAATCTTCCACTAGAAGTGCGGTTTGCCAGAAAAACTTTCCAACCACCAAACCCACTTTGTCTTCACTTTAAGCTGTAACTCATCCAGGGAGAAGCCACCCTACGCTGCACTCAGAAATACACAAGTCTGCAGTCCAGCTATGCAACAAAAAAGAAAACCTTACATTTAACATCTATGTTAGGCTCATCTATAAAAAGACAATAATCAGCTGCTTGCTTCTTGGTACATTAACTGCTCTGTGCCACGCGCATTATGGGTGCTGTGCAGCAGGAAGCACAACCACAACTGCAGCCCCTTAGGTTCCCATGTCTTTTGGACAGAATATTTGCTGTGTGGTTCTGTGGATTACTTTCACAGCAAGTTTAAGCAAATTTAAGGCTTCTGTCCTTCCTCATGTCACATCCTGCCCTCCTGTCAGCACCTCCAGTGTTCCCCATTTAACAGCAGACAATAATGAGAGCATATTGGCTGTGTAGCTGCTGCCCAGCCCTCTGATATCCTGCTGAGCAGCAGGGCCAGCAGGCAGGAGACAGGTACACAGCACAGGGGCTGTGCAGCATGAGACTGCAAAGCAGGAGAACTAGCTGCTGCAGCAGCAGAAACAGCCCAAGTGCAGTCCAAGACACAAATTTCGCAGGGGAGCGGAGCCCAGAGTGCTAATTGTGTTCCTGCTGATGAACAGATGGTGCACATGGCCATGGGCAACAAATGTGCAGCTCCCCGGCCTAGGCCAAAGTAACAGACATCACAGGTTTGAGCCTACAGGAAATGGTCTGAGCTGCTAACAGGAGGGCTGACAGCTTCCCACAGCTTCAGAGATGCTGTATCCATCAGTAATGCACTCAGATTACAGAGTCAGAACAGACATGCTGGGGTTCTGGCCCAATGAAGAACAAAAATTACACCAAATTAAGGTGTAATATTAAGAAAATCATTTGTGTAACTGGGGAGTGAGAATATCTTCTGTCAAGACACTCCTCCTGCATCCTTGTCAAAAATTCTAGTGCAGGCCACTAAGTGGAATATAAAACCTTTGTCCACACACTAATTAACAGCATGGAGAACTTATACTGATCTGCAATTATAAAAACCTGCTTGCCAAAGCCTGGAAACTGGGATATCTTCCCCTGATTCAAACAAGCACCCAAGAGCCAGACTGGAAAGCTGAAAAGGGAAAATCCAACAAAGCATCGCTTGGGCAGAACACAACTCCCCTAAAGAAAGCACCTGGAACTGAATCCAGCCAGCCCCAGAGGAGAGAACTCAGGCTGACCTCACTCACTGGGAAAGCCAGCACAGACCCAAGAGATGGCAGAAAGCTCTGCGCCGTGCGTCAGATCCGCATCACATCGCCTGCAGCCACGCTTACCTGCACAAAGATGGGGAACACCAGCACTTTGGGAGCCAGTGTCACGTATGTGCCATAGCTGGAGTGTGGGATGTGTGGCCTCACTATAGTGCAGTTCTGGTAGTTCCCATAGCTCTTCATTGTCTGCACAGTCTTCATCAGCCTGGATTTTCTCCCAGACCCTGTGTGTGACTTCCCTTTGCATCCATTTCCTGGACCGAGAGAGGAAGCAGCAACACAGAGAGAATTAGGAGCGTTCCTGCACACTGCCAGCTCAGCTCCTGCCCCCGCAGGCTGGAGGAGGGCACAAAGAGCCCAAGAGGAATAGCTGGAGCCTGGAGCTGCAGGAACATTCATCACTCTGCTATCAAGGTCTCTTGGGGACTCATGAAATAACAGCACTGACTTCATTTCTCCTAATGCAAAATGAGATGCCCCTTGATGCTTCTGCACAATTAAGAGCTATTTTCTTGCTGGGCCCAGGACTTCACCCAACAGCAGCAAGACAGACAGACAAAACCCCAAATTCACAGCTGCCCCAGCATGCCTTCCTGTGTTTGGGTGTGCACAGTGTTCTGCACAATTTATGAGTACAGCACAGTACTTCAGAGAAAGCTGTGGTGTGATTACACGCACCTCTCTTTGCAGTACTGAGTGCACAAAACAAGAAACACAGAACCCCAAGCACCTTAATAGCTTTTTCTCAAATCACACAAATACCACAGAGGATCCCTCTCCCATCAGGAAACTGCTGCCCACACCACCAAACCACGGCCAATCCCTTTTCAGGTGGGGGAAAACCATCCATGACTAATTCAGGGTGAAAGTAAAACACTGGAAATTTAAACCCTGGGACATTTTTATCCACGGAGCTCCTGCCTATACTGAATTGAGGGCATGGGAGCTCACAAAGTGCAGAAATGTAATAACATGGGGAGCAGCTGATGCTTTTAATCACAGCTTTCAGAAGGCATTTAGACTGGACAATAGAACAGAAGAGATAAACAACACTCATGAGCATGGGATCTACCCATCTCCTTCCAAATTGCCTCCAGGAAGTGATGGTTACTCAGCCATAGAGAAGGATTTACAAAGGATGACCTCACCAGGCACGAGGCTGGCATATCATCCTCCACAGTTCTCAGCATCACATTTTGGTGCTGGAGGAAGTCTGAGCAGTCTGACTGGCTTTTCACTCTGTCCGACTCCACTGCAAAGAGCTATTATCTCTATTCAAAGGAGGGATTACATGGAAGCTGTGTGACACGGCCTCAGCTGGGCAAGCACCGCTTCCACTTCCCAGTAAGCCAACGGCAGCTCCCATAGCCACACCATGCCCGCCAGACTGCACTGCTCAAAGCCAGCTGGCACTGGGTGCTATGCCACACTGCTCCCAGAATCTCTAACGTAAATAACAGTTCCCTGATAGAAAGTATTATGGATTATCCTTGATCCCTGCTGGCTGCTGCTTGGGTGAGTCCTTCCTACCCCCATTGCTGGGAATTCATTGCCGTTTGAGTTTCTAAGCTCTCTGCTCACAACCTTTGAATACATCCAGAAAGCTTCTACCAGTGTTTTGTCACCTAGCACACTTGGGTCACCTGTGCTGTCTTAAAGCTCAAAGGAAAAACTTCAGTGGAAACTGGATGTCTCTCTCTAATCAAATATCCACGCTCCAATGAAACACTGCAGATATTCTCCCTCCTAAAGCTGATGAACCAAAGCTGCTGAGATCCAGCAGGCAGACCAGGAGAGAAGAGCAGCATCAGCCCAGGACTCTCACTCACAGCAATGTCTCAGGACCATGCTAGTGGGATGCCCCAGCTCAGCTACCAGGAGCATCCCTCCTCCAGCCTCACATCCTTCTGTTCCTACATAGCAGCTTTCAGTGAGGTGCCTTCTGCCTTTGCACAACAAAAACCCATAACTTCCTGAGCAGAATGGGCCAAAACACTTCTGAACATGGAGCAGAGCAGATAGGGTCTGGTCCAAAGCAAACACATGAACCTACCCAACATTACATGTTCCATGAATTATTAGGAAGCAGCATGTTTATTTTCAGATAAATGCCAGCAGAGCCAGCCCATACTCTGCCAACTTGGCCCCACTGTTTGCTCTCATTGCCTGCATTTGGGGCTGAGGGGAGGAGGAGGTTCTCATGACCTAGAGTGCTGTTTCTACCTCTAAGAGCAATAATTCTGGTATTTTCTCTTTCCCCTTTCTCGTGGTTGTGCTGCCAGATAAAAATCAAACGCGAGAGACTGTCCAACACAGGACAGATACAATCTGTCTGGGCCATGCAGAGTTTGATTTTCCTCTTATCCCTAAATCACCTTCTTTCATTAGAGGCATTCATCACCTGCATAAGTCCCATCTTCTGCATGGTGGCACAGAAGCATCAGCTCCTATCTTACTGTCTGCCTCTGTACTGCTCAGGTTAACCACTGCATTCCTCTCTCTGAAGGCTTATCTTTAAATAAACTGAAAGTAATCATTAAAAATTACACAGGGAAGAAACTCGAGTCTTTAAAATTATTACCCTTCTGTCAGAACAAGTCCCCACAGCTCAGCTCAGCAGGGAGGAGCTGCAGTTACCCCAGCGCAGAACAGTCCCTGCAGCTCAAGTGCAGAAAATTCATCCATCTGCAGAGCTGCAGGGTTGTGGCTATCCAGCCACTGAGGCCCCAACCCCACACAGCTCCCTCACATCCCCGCCGTGGCTTTGCCAGCCCCACACTTCACCACCCCTGAGCACTGCCCAACCTTTACAGGCTGCAGAACGTTTTCTACCTGGAAATTGCACTGATGGCTGTTCCTGCACCAGGGAGGGACAGCTGAGTGAGAGACTCCTTCCTGAGAAACCATGGAGAGGAGCTCGGCTCTGCCAGGACACACAGCTAACCCCCAGGACATCCTAAAGATCAGAGCACAGGCACTGTCTCCCACAGCTCCCAAACCAAGGAGCAGGCCAGAGGTGTTTCCGCCTGGAGCTAAGCATGCTGAAAGTTGCCATTTCTTTAATAACGTCAACAACACACAGTGAACAGCCTGGCACTACATCCAGGCTCCTGGGTTGTTTCTGCCCCTGGTTTCTCATGCTGAGTGGCAGTCATTTGTTGATACCTGTCTCAGCAAGACCTCATGTTAGCCTCTGCTCCCCGTCCCGCAGCCAGGATTCGTGCAGCAAACCCCAGCCCTGCTCTTCCTGCAAGTCTACATGCACCCAATTTTCCAGGAAGACCCAGCAGATTCGTTGCAGAAAGCGTTAATGCTTCCAAGGATTTTCAAGGAAAGCTGGCCCAGAGACCATCAGAAACCCAGAAAATTAACATTTCCCAAGTCTTGCACTTCAATCTGCTCTGCTCTTTGCATAAATTCAGCTCATGGCCAACCTCACTATTAATAAAGTGAACTGCAGAGCAGGGGGAAACAATGTTAGCACCCCCAGCTTGTTGCATCCTGCCCGACAAAGGAAACATCACAGACAAACCCACAAACATGTGGGGATCTGGCACATAATGAATATTTAGCACTTTCACACTTCATGCTTTTCTCATCCCCAGTGGAAAGTTCCTGTCACCAGCCATCCTGTGAGCTCCCAGAGACCTCGCCATGAGGCAATGACACCAGCAGCTGTGCTCTCCTCTGGGCATGGTGGCAGGGTTCTTGCATTTATGTTTGATCCAGAAAGGTGGAAGGTGACAGTGCCTGCCAAGAGCCACTGTCCTCAGAATGTAATGGACTTGGTTGTAGAGCTAGGAGCAAGGATTACTGGGTGCTGGATAGACTGGATCTGGCTCTGCCAAGTGCTCTGAGCAATGTTTTCATCATATCAGCAACTTACCCTCAGTAGCATTGTTCTCCTGGTACACAGGCCTCAGCAGCTGCAAGACAGAATCCAAAAAGGAACAGCCACCTGAGGCAGACTTCAAGGCAGACTTCACACAAACAAACAGTAAATTTCAGTGTGCCAAACTCAAAGCCAGATGTGAAAATCATCTTTGCTCTATTACTATCAGAACACGAGAGAAGTGGTTTGTGCTGCACAGGGGAAACACTTTCCAATCCCCCATCCTGTGCATGAACCCTGGGAGGAGGCAGCAGCTCACTTACCATGGCTCTGCAGCCTTAGCAGCAAATGCTTTAGAAAGAGAAAGAAAGGACACCCAGGGACACAGCTTAGAAACACAGCATGTGCCCTGGCAAACATTTAGAGATAGCGTCTGAGAAGTCTGAAGCTTGGGTCAAGTCAGAAAGCAGCAAGCACAATCATCACCTCATGCAGTAACATGAGTGTGGGGATGGAGGCAGCCCTACCTGGCTCCCTGGGTTCAGAGGTGCAAGGATGATGTAGTTCTGGTCAGCAGCAGAGGGCACATGGGACAGAGGGGGCATGGTGTTCTGGCCGCGCTTGCCGATCTCTGTGTACCTCTCCCAGCTGTTCAGCATTAACCCATCACTCCCATCATACAGGACATGGCAGCTCCGTCGCTGCTCAGGCCACGGGGGCACAGTGCTGTTTTTCTCCCGCTTGTTTGGAGGGGACTGCAGGTCGTAGGCAGACTTGCAAGATGAACGGCGGATCATGCCATCAGGTCCAGACTTGACCTGTGGGACGAGCCTCCAGACCAGCAGGATGATCTCTGTGGGACAGTTCCTGGAAGAGATGGGGCAATTCAGAGCCAGAGCAGCAGGCACTGAGGCATTCTGACAGCCACCAGCCTTTCCTTCCCAGTCCCTGCATCCTTTCTTTTTCCCCCTCCAAAGACTCCTTTCTCAGCTTCCCACATCCCGCAAACCCTTCTGCTTTCCACAGCCATCCAACCTTCCCACTGTTGTGCCCTGGGCTCCATCAGGCTGCTCCCCCCATATGCCTGCACTGATGCTTTGGGTGAACGCTCACCGGATTTCATGTGCCAGCTCCACACACTTCCAGTGCTCCACAGGCCGCTCATTCAGCTGCAGCACTGTGTCAAGCTGCTGCAGACCAGCTTTTTCTGCAGGGCCACCTATGGAGAGAAGGGATGGGTGACTGTCAGTCATCTGCTGGACACAGAGCATTCTCAATACCAGTGCTGAGGGAACACCCATATAGCACAGCTTCCCAGCTTGCGCCACTCCCTCATCCAAGACTCAACTGTTTCTCCTAACAGAGCTAAGGTTCTTCTTCACTTTAAGGACAGTGTATTTTTGAGTCTTGAATGTATCACTGAGGAACTGATTGAAATCTGTTAAGTCCAATTTCACAGTGTCTGAGTGCAATGCTTTCCTTGTCAGTTTGCTGTGTTAAATATACACTGCACAAATAATACTAGGAATTAGGTATAAGTTAATGCATCATTCACGTTGGAACTTCAGAATGTGAACAGATGGATCCCTGCTTCCAGTCTGCAGTCCAAACACACTGCTTCTCCCAGAGAGGACACTGCCAGTAGCTCAACATGGGAAGCCAGGGAGATTTCCTGGTGTGCAGTGGGATAACAGAGATGCTGAATCCATCCTGGAGGCTCATACTAGGAGGATCCACTCAAGCAATTAAGGCCCTCTGCAATTCTGCCCCCCTCCTGCGCCAGTCTGGCTCCACTACATACTTTCCATAGGTCTCCCAGTCAGATAATTCTCAGATTGGAGAGAACAAAATTTCTGCATATCACTGCAACACAACACCAAAATAACAACACAGCAGCCTCTGTCCTCTTAAGATGCAAGGGAGAGTTCATAGAGTTCATCAAAAGGGACAAAATTGAGCTGATCTCTTACCAGAGTCCACTGCCTGCACACGGACTGGGGAATCACAGCAGATCGTGAAGCCAAACCCATCACTTCCTCTAGGGATTGTGATCTGAAAAGAGACAGCAGGGTCACCCTTTATAATAGGAAAGCATCCATGCATGTGGTCAGTGAGCATCCCTTGTTTCATCCCTGCCTTCAGAAATGCAGGTACACAGCATTTCTAAAAGCAGCTGCAGAGCCCAAAGGAACTATACCAATGAACACTGTCACTCTGTGAGCCCTACTGACAATGGGACTCTCCTGTTCTGCAGCCAAGAGGATGAAAAAGGCAGTGAAAAACTATGTGAAGTCAAGCCCAAGACCAGCAGAAATGAATGACACAAGGTGAGCACATGCAAGTCCTTCTTCATGACTCCTGCAAGCATAAGGAAAAGTCTATCAAGACACTAGAAAGGAAAACCTGGCAACTTGGCTCTGATGCTTACTTCTAGTACAGCTTCTCCAAGCAAGCCACTTAAACATTTCTTCCCCAGTGGGGCAATACACAAGTAGCAGCACTCCTCTGCTCCAGGGGAAGCCGTGAGAAGCAGCACACTCAGCCTGCCAGGCACCAGCTGGGCGGGCTCTGTGCATCACCCTGTTAGCTGAGGTGTGTTTCTCTTGATGAGCTTCAATAGGATGGATGCTGTGTTGATCTAGGCTCATTTCTCCTCCTGATTCTAGAAACAATTAGATTATTAATAAAGTTGTATTTTATTTTTATGTTGGCTTCCAGCAGCAGCTCAGCACAACAGTTCCTGCAAATACCTGATTATCCTCAAGACGTTTGTCAGAATTCCTGTTTTACTGACAGAGAAAACAGAAAAAATCTGACATGTGTGATCTGAGCTATTTTGAGAACAAATAGAGAGGAGAATCCAATTGAAGCAGCCAAGAACTGCTTCCACACTCCTTTACAGCATGAGGGCAAACCCAGTGAGCCTTCCTTTCTTTGCTCTCTGTCCCTGTTTGATTGCTCTGAAAAAAAAAAAAAAAAAAAAAAAAGTTTTAAAAGAAAAAGTGTCTTTCCCTGGCAGGATCAAGTACATTGGTCCAGTCCTACCACACTGAATATATTTCTTATCTCTGGAGGTTGTTCCCTATTTGAGAATACAATAAGACTGTTTGTGGGTCTGCACCTTCAAACCAGTCTCACACACTAAAAACAACACCTAGGGACCTGACCTCTGCAGGACATCATCAGCCCCGACAGCCCAGCATCTCCCCCTGCAGTCACCCCACAATCCAAGACTTTCTCCACACCAAGAGGGCTCTCCCACTGCTTCTACTCCAGCTCATGGCTCTTGTCTACCATCTTCCCTATGCCATCAGCAGTGCTTCCCACTGACAATGCTTGCCTTCCTCACCTCCCACCACTGTGGGATTAGCAGTGAGCTCAGCATCCATTATTGCCACTCAGCACAGAACTAACAAATACGAGCATCTGATGTAAGCTGGAAGATAGTGATGATGGTACAAGGCTCCAGTCCACAGCAGGCACAGGCTCACTGTGCTCACAGCTATGTTGGAAGGTGCAGCAGAAATTGCCAAAACAGAGAATTGAAAAGATCTAGGACAAGTCACAGTTGCCTCTGATTTGCACAGCAAAGGACCATGCCTGCATGAGACAGTCACTATAGCCCTGACAAGCAGCAGGCATTTCTAATTAAGCTAGTTCTCCCTGTGACCTCCACTGCAGCTATACAATATGAACACAGCAGCACAAAAAAATGCTGACCACGAGCTGGGAGCCCCAGTGCAAATCCCAGTGGAACAACTATTCTAAAGTGCAAGAGACCAAGATCCACACCAGCAAAACTCCCCACTAGAGCTGGGCACTGAGAGCATCTGAGAGCCTGTGCTGGCTTGTGCGCAACACTGCATGCTGCCTTGGTCAACTTCCATTGTGGCCAGCTTCATTCTCATACACATTTCTGTTAAAACAACTTCAGAAGAGATTGCAGCCACCTGGCAGAGAGCTGACCCTGCAGTTATGTGCAGCAAACAGAAACATCCTTCAGCTGAGCACTTCTACAGCCAGCTGCTGAGCTGCACCCTAAGTTACACAGCAAGAACTCTCCTTCCTCCATCCCCACTTCCACACAGCGATGTGCAGCAAGAGGTCAGACACCCACCTGAAGGCACTGTCCTTCTATTCCTAATACCACCATTTACAAACGACAGCACATCAGCAGCACACTCACAGCCTGACAAGGGGGAGGAAGCCCACGGACACTCAGACACACGGAGACCCACAGCGGGGGCACAGACCTGCCGGTATCTCCGCTCCGAGCACACCTTGCAGAGTCCATTGAAGCGGTTCATGGCTGCAGCCCCCAACCTCGCCGTCAGCCCATGAAAACGCAGCGTCCCGAAGCAGCCGTGCTCCCGGTCTCCTCGTCTTGCACCAGTGAGAAACAAACCCCAGTCAAACTGGCATGACCGCCCATGGGAACCCAGCTCCAGAGAAGAATGGCAGGAAGCCACCTTTCACCTTCCCGGCCCCTGTCTGCGCTGTATGCCGCTTTACGATAAGCCAGAGGGCTTCCTGAAAACCCCAAGTGACAAGGAGGAGAGAGAGTTTTATATTAAAATTCCTGTCAACTCTTTAGTATTCCCTGGTCCCTGCTCTGTTGATGTGGCTTTTGTTCCCGTGGCATTCTTCAGCCGCACGGAGCACTTTGTTATTGCGACGTTCTCACAAACACTTGGAGGATGTCTGAGCAGCATTTCACAGGCACCGACTGCGCAAGCCCGACTTCATTGCACTGCTTAGCCTGGAGAGGACAACAGAGAGTGGCTTTCTTTTTAATTAAAAAAAAAGTTTGTTTTTCGGAGTGCAGACCCTAAGGAAAAAAAAGCACGTCCTCATGCTTTGTGCTCATGGAGTGGGATCAGAGGTCAGCTGAATTGTACCTGTAGTGTAATCTCAAAAATAAAGACAAACTCTCAGCTCAGCCAGCAGCAGGGCAGCGCTGAGCAGCTCTGCACTCTGCAGCAAGGCTTCTTGGAGAAAGCTCCTAACACAGAGATGGAAAGGAAAAGCTCGAGGAAGCATGGGGCCCCTTTGCAGGGTAATGGATGGCCATGCAGGAAGGAGAGGGGCTCCGGAGCTCCCCGTGAGCCGGCACCTTGCAAGGCCATTGGAGCTGCTCCTCCGGGCACAATGGCATTGCTAAGTCTGCATGGGGAGATCCACCTCCTCCCAGCCACCATCTTACCAGTCAGCAGCAACACTGGGGAGGAAGGGAGGAGAGGGGCGCTGGCTTTGTTTGTCCTGCTCAGTCCTACGCTTTAAAACAAATAACTGAAAATGCAGCTGAGGGAAGCAGCAAAGCGGAATTCAGCACAGATAAATCACAGGGACGGCCGAGACCTATTTCCGATGCAGGCCATGTGTTTGCATTCCCATTTCCCATCTTTGCCTCTCCTATAAATCACTGAGGCTCCACCAAGAGCCTTTCCCTTCCCAGAGCAAAAGACCCCAGAAGGAGGAGGGGAGCAGACGCAGCCGTGCACGGAGACCTAGAGCCGGCCAGGGACGGATGCTGCACTGCAGGCAGGCAGCCAACTCCAGCCCATTGCTCCTTGTTCCCATCACTCCCACTCAACGGCAGGTACTTGGTCTCTGTGGTACTGTTCTGGACAAACAGGAGGTCCCTATTCAGCAACAGGGAGCAAGTGTGGGATTACTACACCCATTACCTCCTTGGGTTGGGAACATTAATTGCTCGTAAAGCCACCGTGTCAACAGGGAAACTGAGACAACTCCCATCTCAGCTGAGGACTAACACTCTGTCCCTCCTGCTCATCTAAACCCTGCATGCAGGCTGCTTTCAGCCCCTAGCCCATGCACCGCTGGCAGGACAGAGCCCAGCTGTACCCACCTTCAGCTGCCTCATGCTCGCAGTGTCCCGGCCCTCACACGCTGCACTCTGACCTCCCAGTACTGGTTCTTTAGGCAGAAAGAAAAAAAAAAAAAAAAAAGCACATAAACCCAACAGCACACAGCTCCTGACGGCCACTCTCCCTCCTCACCACATCCACACACCATGAAAAAAATCACTATGTGCTAGGGGACATCACCTCTTGGCTAGGGCTGCCGCACATGATGGCAGCTGTGAGGGGGGCTGCACACCCAGGGTAGGCATTGCTCCCTCACCCTGCTATCCCCAGCACATACTCCTCCACGCACCCCAGCATTGTGGTAAACAAAGGCAGGAGAGAAAGCCCATCACAGCCCCTGGGTATCAGAGCCTAGCCATAGTGTCAACCCACAGGAGAGAGGCAGCTGCAAAGCTGGGGACCCACAAAGAGCTCAAAGCAAAGCATGAGTAAAGGGCAAAGGGGAGAGTTCAGTGCCAAAGCAGAGACTGCCAAACTGCCCAGGATACCCAGCACACTGATTCCACTGACCACTACAGCTAACCATGAGGCTGGTGGCTGCTCCACACCACAGCGGGGATAGACATGAGTTTAGCACCCCTCCCGCACCATGCCAACCTTCCCAGGCTGTTCGGGAGGGTGACATACCTCTGCTCTTCTTCAGCCGCCGCACAGCCACCTTCAAGTGCTTGGTCCTGCCCAGATCCTCCCCAAGCAGATAGTACCAGCCACTGATCTCCTGTGGGGGCAGAAAGAAGCTCTCAGTGTTGGGGCAGGTACTCCACCTCATTTAACTCAGTCTGGTCGCCCAAAGCTCCATGAGCCCTGCTGCAGGAGCTGCCCTGGCCAGAGCACAGAGGCTGTCCTGAAGCACTTCTCATAAGAGACATGGAACCAGGTAAAACTACCCACCCCATGCTCACAAAGCAGGGTGACCACACCAACCTCCAGCACTGCTGGGCACCCCACATCAGAGCTCCCTCTGCCCCATCCCATCCACATGAGACATCTCATCCAGGAGCCACCATCTTCAATTACCCTCTGGACGATCAGCAGAAGCTAGAAAACAAAACATCCCACCCCAATCACAGGAATCAGATAAGGACTGCAGGGACCATCAAGACAAGAGAAGATGGGGTCCATTAAAAAAAAAAAAAAAAAAAAAAAAACTTATGCTTTAAATCCACAATGAGGAAACTGCAGAGCATGGCGTATCCAGCAGCACCACTAGGCCCAGGAGGCTGGGCTAGAGCTTCCCAGATACAAAGGGGGTCCCAGAAGGACCATGAATTCCCCATATCCATCCCCACTTTTCCATCACGGTGAGAATAATGTGCCTTTGGGCTGCATGCAGGGATGATCTCTGCAGTGAGAACTTGTGAAGCTCATGGCCAAAGTCTGAAATCTTGGTGTGGTATGACCAGAGCAGAGGCTGTTCCTGGGGGCAGCTGCAGTTCAGAGCTGCTCTAATCACCCTCACTGCTACTGAAATAAAAAAAACACTGCATATCATTTGTCCTCACTACCTCCTACTCTCACTACATGTAGTTCAAACAAACAGTTCCTTTTAACCTCTTGCTAGGCAGCAAATGTCCAGACCCCAGGTGATTTGTGAACACTCCTTAAAGCCCTTCCAACCTGTCTGATGTGCCAGCACCTGGTCTGGGCTGTCCAGGGACAAAATCCCTAACTGCCAACAGCTAGGATGAAAGTTTTCGATGTTTCACTGGATCAGCAGAGGTCATTCACAGCATCAGCTCTGCAGACTCCTTTAGAAAAGCAAAGCCAGCTATGTGAAAGCTGTATTACCCAGCAGCAGCCAGGCCGGGGCAGCAGCAGGGACAGACCTGCAGTAGCAGGGACACAGCCTGGCACAGAAGCACCTTGCAGCACCACTGCTACCAGGAACACCCTCAGGTGTGGACACCCCTACATTTGCCCACCCCACACTCACCTCAGCTGTAGAGCCCTGTCTGCTTAGTGCAGCGAGAGAGACAGAATCCTCTTCCAAGGAGGGCGTTCCCACCATCCATTGGTTACCACCCAGAGGCCCTTGGACAGATGTGACAAGTGCCAGCAGGCTGGGTAAGGCTGGTCCCATCTCCCAGCCCTACACAGCACTCACAGGAGCCACATCTCTGCACCCCCTGGTGCTGCTGAGTGCGTCCTCACTGAAAGGAGCAGCAATCCCCTGATCTAGGATTCCTCCTCTGCTCCCCACCCCTGCCTCCAGCAGTGGCACCCACAGTGCCAGCTCACAGTGGCTCTGTACTGGCAGGTCCTTGGACACCTTCAAAGTCTCCTTGCCTGCTGGTGCAAAGAGCCAGCTGCTCCCTGTTCCTGCCCTGAAGGAGCACTACATCCACCTGCTCAACCCAATCCTGCACACAGTGCTCCAGATGAAGGTACCTTGTCCAGGGTCAGGAGGGACTTCACACCAAAGCTCATGCACCCAATCAGTTTGCTTTGCCTGCAAAAAAGTCAGAGACTATCAGTGCACACTACTTGAAACCTCTCCTAAGGACCATTTGCCCATATGCACCCCTTTTCAGGGGCCATGCAGATATCCCTGCACACAATGGGAGCTGGGCCATGTCCAGAACATGCTCCTCTCTCCATGTCTGGAGTATATGTGATGTAACCACACAGCCTGGCTTGCAGCAGGAGGAGGAGGGAGCTGGGATGCAGCATCCTGGTCACCTTCTTGATGCTGACAGGACCGTGGCCAAGGAACCAACAGCCACTTGCCTGAGCAGGTGACACAATCTTTGAGGTGCTACAGCCCAAGCTGCTGTGCTTTCCTCATCCCTGCGACACCCCAGCAGGTAGGGGAGATCCCTGCCCTAAGCCCCAGCCAACAGTGTAGATGGGAATGCTAAATGCTGGCTGTGGTGACTGCCACCAAGCAGCAGCACCACAGACAGAGATGGCAAGGGCCCAGTTTCCTCTCCAGCAGTCTGCACGCGGAGCAGCCTTAATTCCCCATGTGCAGCAGGCCTGTTGTCAGGTCATGCTCTCGAGGAGCTCACATGGGTGGCCAGAGCAGAAGGCAGGTGCACTGCAGTGACAGCCCTGTCCTTAAAAGATCAAAATGCAGTGTGGAAGGCACATACCTGCAATCTCTCTCTCGGTTCCAGACTGTGACCAGAAGACGTTTCTGCTCATCCTCCTCCTGTACCAGGCTGCAAGAAGCAGAAGGGCAGCCCATGAGCGCGCTCTGCCCAGAAGACCTCAGCATAGGCTGCCTGCATGGCCATGGGACCCACACCCTCCTTGAAGCCAGGTATTCTCCACTCTCTGCACAGGCCCTGCAGCATCACCCCAGCTGGCGTTCCTCCAACAAGGCACTGCTGCACCGATGTACTCATTCCTGACAAACCACAGCACAGGGATGTGACCTCCCCTAGGCAGGTGCTGGCAACACTGCTCCAGTGCCTTAGGGGGGTATCATGCAAAAGGACACATCCAACATCAATAGACAAAAATGAGGAACAAGGAATTGTGCATGCTATGAAACAAACATTCTGACCCAGATTAAATGTTGCATGAGGATGGAGGTCTGTCAGACATGTTTGCTAGCAATGAGGTGCTGTACCGAAACATTCCATGCCATAGAGCTCCCTTCCCATGCAGAGACATGATGGAGCTATAAGAAATCCTTTTACCTTTCTCCTCCATACAGTGCCAATACTATTGCAGGCACAAGGAAATTGAGTGTGTTTGCTCAACTCCTGCCCAGCAAGTGTCCAACTATGCGGGAACACCACTGCCACATTGTGTGCTGACTGCTGCATGAGCTCTGCCCAAAAGTTCAAGATATTTCAGCTATAAAAAACAGCAGAATAATGCCTGTCACTTCTCATCCCAGCAGCAGAGCAGCTCATGCGTGATGCATGTTTATTACAGATCATAATGTAAAAGCAAACACATCATCTTGGCTTCCAGAGGGTGCTCCAGGACAGTAACCACTGATTCCCCACTGCTCTGTGGGAGCTGGGGGATAAGCCAGAGCCATCCCTGCTCCATTGTACTCACAAGACAAAGTGCTCGTGGAAGACTGGGTTTTTGCTGTCTGGCACAGTCTTTGTTTTCTGTCTGCACTTCCCGTCGGCATCTGGCACAATTGACATCTGCATGGGGAAGCAAGCAGGTCATCAGCCATCACAAAATAACACTCCACAGCAGTTCAGGAGAACAGCACAGCCACTGTTACAGGTGGCTGAGCCTCAAAGATCTGGCTGAGCCCATGCTCACAGGTAGCTTAGATCATTTTGCCTTACGTATGTCAAACAATCGCATTACAAAACTCCTTAGAGGGTGGTGGAAGGAAAATAGTAGAATATCAGGGACTGGTGCACACAAATGTGCTGGTCAGTCTCTGGCTTGCAGCCCACTTGCAGAGGAGATGCTTGCTGCACTGCACACACCACAGGGCAGCCCAGGGCACTACTCCATTGGTTGCCCAGTGGGGTGCTCTCACCCCTGAATGTCTCTCAGAGCCCCTCTCAGCGGCTCTCCTTCGCTCTTCTGGCTCAGGCATCACGTCAACAAAGCCATCAGCCTTGCCACCAGACCAGCAACTTCCCCGCATGCTGCTCATCCATGGTAAGGTAGGGAAGCCCAAGGAAGAAATAAAAGGGATCATGCTTGGAAGAGCCAACACCAAAGCCCCAAGAGAGCAGGAAGAACCTACCTTCACGTAGGAGTCGCACGGCCGGTACTCTGTCCCCATCAGACCTTTTGCTTCCACGACTAGAAAGGAAACAAAGCCCCAAATCAGGCCCCACAGCATCAGGAAGGCAACTCTCTGCACCTCTCTCCCTGCAGGACCCTGCACACCTCCCTAGCATCTCAGCCTTAAACAGGGGAAGGGTTCTGCCATATTTTTTCTTTATGACAACCCTGTTACAAATACTGGCATCTGTGGGTGAGGTTGGCAGCAGATGCAGTGCACCATTCAGATGGCAAACAGCATTTCATCTGCCTGACTTGACTCTGCACTGTGTTCTCTGCCCTAGAGCCAAATGTATCATCAAGTAAAATACCCACGGCCACATCCTGATGGCAGTCCCACTAACGGGGTCTCAGCTTTGTCCCAGTGCTGACAGCAGGGGACCCTGTGCTTCCTAAGCAGGAGCTGGAGGCAATATCTGTGCTGCAGAGCCCAGAGAGTGCAGGACAGGCTGTCAGAGTGAGGCTGAGCTCACTCCTAACATGTAGAGCAAGGCAGCAGTGCCTCTGCCTTTGTCAGAGCAGGATGTGTGGCCACAACAAGCGAGGTCATCCTGGCAGAAACCATGGTGTGTGAGGAAAAAGGGGCTCTACAGGATCCTCTACTGCCCTGTGATGCGGTTTGCAAGGTTCCTCCACAACAGGCCACAATAAGAGCCTCCTTTGGGTTTAAAGGTGTTGGGGTGGAAAAAAACCCAAACATTTTCCTACTGTTGTTTCTGTACAAAGCTTCCCTGCACAACTGGAAAAGGGAAGCAACTGGGGGAGATGAGGGGCTGAGCATGGCTCAGCTGTTCCCCACGCCTCCATCTCGTCACAAACAGGCAGGGATGAGGCTGGACTGAGAAGTAGAATTTTACTCAAGAAAAAAACCTTTTCCATCCCTCCTGCAGGTGTTTGGCACAGTCACCCCTAATGCTGCTGGGAACCCCAGGTACCTGATTTCCCTTTTGTTCTATAGAGCTTAACTCCATGGCAGCAATGAGCCTGCTTTGCTCACAGAAAGGGGATTTTGACTCCACATTCTTGGCTTCTTCCTTGAGCCTACAACCATTTATTCATCCCAAAGCCCTAAGAAGACCCCAGCAAGGAAAGTTCTGTGCCAGAAGACACAAGCACGCATATCTTTTGCTGCAGGAGCAATCCTAGTGAGCCCCATGGGTGCCCCCAGACAGGTCTCTTCCCAAAGAAAAACTTGGTTCTGACACTCACGTTGGCTCAATACCTGTCAACAAAGTGGCAGTGCTGCAGCTCCTGGGCCTCAGGTGTGGATCCCCTGGTGCTGCACAACTCTCCTTACAACCCAGTCCCCAGAGATGGAAATTTTCAATAGAGCTTCACTTGTTCCCAGGGGAACATGTCATGGTGTGAGCAACAGCACCACCATCCAGGACCAAGTCAGACGCATTTCTGAAGAAACATTTCTGATGCTCAGTGTTTGAACTGAACCATTTGGAAATCCTGCAAACAATTTTTGGCCATTTCAGATTTTCTTTTCCAAATTACATCTCTGTCTTTTTCTCTCGTCATGCAGTGTGAAATAAAAACTTGATATAACCAGAATACAAAACACACTGCAGCCACCTGGAAATTAGAGACTCCAGAAATTTTGGTTCTGCACTAAAGAGCTGCTCTATTTGATGGAGCTGCTCCCAACAGCCACCACAACGCTGTCCCCTGGATCTGAATGAGGGGATGGCAGTGCTGTACCTTTTGTATCTCCCCCACGGGCTCTCTCATGAGGGCCACCTCTCCACACACCCTAGGGCAATCAATACTCACCATGCAGCATCAGGGAGCGGTCCTGCACCTCGATAGACAACTTCAGCTGGCCTGGGAGAACAGAAGAGAAACAGTGAGGAGGTAGGACCCTCATGCTGTCGCCAGCATTCACAGCATGGGGAACATCATGCTCCCCGTGCACAGGGCCAAAACCATCCTGCCTCCCCACCCCAGGCACAGGGGCTTTGCTCAGGGAAGCAAGGGAAAGGTGTGGGAAGGGAAATCTGCTACCAAGGAAGTCTTTAGACTCAAAAGCTTTCCAGGTAAAACTGCATACTGCTTTCTCAGCGTGCAGTAAGTTTTTGACACAAACACCCATCAGAAAGGAAGGGGGAGCATCAAGGGGTTGCTGCTGGATGAATTCAGCAGAGGGTGAGGGGAGCCTTGCTGATGTATGCTGCATAAATAAATATCAGTCCCCTTTAAATAAATATCAGTCACCTTTTTGACACCAAATAGATTGTGAACAAGGCCAGGAGCTGCCAGCCCCAGGAAGAGTTGTGCTGTGCTGCACTGCCTGCAGACCCTCCACTGCTGAGCCAGCAAGCAGGACCCAGCCAGCCCAGGGTTCCACGCACACCAGTACTCTTACATCAGGGAGGGAGGGGAGAGCCTCAAGGAGCTCTGTGAATAAAATACCACTTTGTAGCAGGTCTGGATGGAGAGTCCTCAGTCCCCAGTGTTATCATCACTGTGAACAAGAGCAAGAAGCAAGGCCAAGAAGAGATGAAAAGTGGCTCCATAAGCTGCAGTTGAGACGTGACCACCACAATGCCAAAACCACAGCCAAGTTCTCCCAACCCAACGCTGCCTCCAAAAAGCTGACCCCTGTGAAGGCTGGCACCAGGAGAAGAATTGGACTGATCAGCACATGGAACTGGGGAGGAAACTAGGAAGATAGCACTGGCTGGACTGCCAAGACTTACCCAACCTGCTACAATCATCACAGCCAGAACCAAGCTTGTGCAGGGGTACCAACCCACCTGGAGCACATGGCAGTGCTTGGTGCTGTGCAAAAGGATGGGGAGTGCAAAGAGGGAACAAACAGACAAACTGGAAGACCTTGCAACCTTGAGTGAATTTATATCCATCAGTGTCTTTTGAAGTACTTAAAGTGAGAGGAAAATGGGAGGACTCCAGCAGAAAGAAGATGCAGGAGTAATGGAGACAAGAAAGTGCCAGACAAGGGCTCTGCAGGGTTCATACCAGGGTGATGAGGCTCAACCTGAGCATCCTGCTGGGAGCAGCTCCCAGGATGACCCCCACAAGCAGATCCAGGCTCACACTTGTATGTCTAGGACAGTATCAGCTGAAACCCTGGGAGACCCAGGCCCAGACCCAGAATCCAGAGAGCCTCCTGCAGAGATGCTGGGACAAGATGGGAGCACTCATTCCAAAGAGCAAACAAAGGAGCATCCCAAAGACACCTCTGCCTGTCAGCAAAGTCACCACCAGCAAGCACAGCATCCACAGCTGAAGACCACATCACTCACTGCCCACTCTGCACACAGATGATGGCAGAGCCAAGAATAAAATCCAGTTCTTACATGTCTATAAAATCAACCTGAAGCTTCTGCTGCCTTTCGAAACTCCCATGTCAAATTCCCAGGCTCCCACCACATATCTGGAGCTGCAATTTGTGAATGTTGGCACTGCCCAGACCTCTCTGCAGGCAGCTGATTCCCAGCATTGAACTCCAAGCAGTTACAAAGTATGGGGTTGAGGCTTTGCCCTGCCAGCTCAGTTTTTCTCCCATTCCCATGCATGCACAACCCCTCATTAACCTGAAATCCATCTCCAGCACTCAGACTGGCATAAAATCTCTCACGATGGCCTTTGGCAGGATTTAGGTAAAATGCTGCTGAGGTGTGGAATATGAGATTCCCCACTGAACAACACCCCAGAAGGGTCCCAAGGATTAGGGACCCTGCTGCCAGCCTGGATGCGATGTGCAGAGTTTAGGGGTGATGCAGGGTCCCACATCCACATAATTGCTCCGAATCAACTCAAAACCAAATGTTTTCAAACACTCCTGGAGAGTCAAACAGATGGAAAATATCACTGGCACAGCATCTTTAGTCCAAAGCAAAACAGCCCATTTACACTCTTTTCTTGGCACGCAAAAAAACAACAAACTAACTGGTAAACATCACTCTTGCACATATAAACATCATTTCAATTACAAAACACCATTTCATTTAGTAAGAGACGCACCCAAGAGCTTGCTTTTTCAGGGTGGGGATATCTTAAGAGATTGTTTAACCCAAAGCAATTCAGAGAACTCAAACTTCATCTTTCACTAAAAAAAAAAAAAAAAAAAAAAAAAAAACAGTTGACAAAACTGTCAGATTTCTCTTCAGCTCCTGTGTGTTTGAGTGCTTGAGTGCACAGCCATGTCTATGTGTGCATATACACACGTGAAAGCAAGGCAAGAAAGACAAGACAGACCTTTCTGGGTGGGTAAATCAATGCAGCTTTTTAATCTTGCACCAATTTACAACACTGAGAATTTTGTGCCACCAAAGCCACCCCAGCCTTTTGAGCCAATCACCCTCTGCAATCTCCAGATCTCTGACCCTGTGGGAACCAACTTGCTGCTCCTCTATTAGCATTTAACAGTCACTACAGCACAGAAGTAAAATGCTCCTCTAACCGAGCATGACGAGGAGTCAGCCCAGTAATGAATGGGTGCTGGGAAAAAGAAAGGAAGCCTTTGTGCCAGGTAGTGCAGGGGGCTGGGAGCTGCTGGGGCTGCACAACTCCGGGACAGCCATGGGGCCAAGGCTCTGCCCAGCAAGGGTTGGAACAAAGAACTGGAGTGCACAGGACACTGCATGCTGGTGCACTTGGACAGAGCAGCTCAGCAGCAGCAGCTGCATTTCCTCAGATGCACGGAGCAGCAAACTTCCCCCAGGGCTGGGAAAGCAGGAACACAACATCTAGCTGTGCAAGCACTTAGGCTGCATTTCTACCACTCGCCAAAAGCAGAGTCAGAGAAAGATTCTTTCCCAGGTTTCAGTGCATCTCTAAAATGAACAAAGGGAAACAGTTTCAGTAGGGAGGTCCTGGCAGAGCTTGTCCAGGTCATCTGGATCAAAGGTGTTAATATAAACAAAAATAGGTACAGAGAAAAGCCAGAGGAAGAGGAAAGAGAAGACAGCTCATCCCACAGCAGGGCTCACAGACAGCTCCTGGTTGCATATCCATCATGGAGAGCAGGGCTCATAGGACTGCCACCAGGAGGACACTCAGGGCCCATCCATTTGGATGTCATCATCTGGGAAAGAAGTGATTTGAGCTGATGCACAGAGCTGGTGCATGGAGAACAGGGATGAACCAGGCAGCAACAAATATAAGCTGGCAAACAAACATCCCCACCCATGAGAGAAGCTTGGTGGGCACGCAGGACTGGCATATGTTGGGAGCAGAACCAGCAGGCAGGAAAATTTATTCCTTGCTGATGATCTCTGGCGAATGGAAAAATTGGTTTTGTGCTCCTTAAAATGCTTTTCTGTTTAATTGAGAGAAAAATGCAGGTTTTACCTAGGACAGAAGAGATGAGAACCATGGGGGTGCACAGCAGGGTGCTTCTACCCCAAAGGGGCATTCCTAGCAGCATAGGGCAGAGTATCCCAAGGCCACCATGTATAGCTTCAGATACAAGCACAGCCTTTGCAACACCATGGTCATCCCCACATGGGCAGCTGTGCCAGCCACATCACCCCACTGCTGGTGGGCCCATGAACAGTAGCGGGCTGCCAAGATCATGGAATATCCCAAGTTGCAAGGGACCCATAAAGATCACTGAGTCCAATGTTACTGGGCACAGACAAAGTCTTTGTCACAAAGACTAGTGTTTTTAGCTTCTTAGCTTGTCTTGAGCAAATGAACACTTAAAAGCCAGAAAGAAGAAAGTGCAGCACACTTGGCTGCCCATAGGCTGCCCTGCTCTGCTTGCATTGCCCTCTCCATGCCCTTGTGCCATGACTGCTTGCAACACCCACCTACAAAAATGAGCAGCAGCCTTGAAATAAAACTTCTGCTTTAAAATTCCTCCCAGTTGGGAAGGGCAGGCAGCCTCCCCCCATGCAGGACAGCCACTGCCAAACCATCCTGCACACGAGTGGAGGCCACACTGCACTACCTGTCATGGCTTCAGGACCCAGCCACAGTCCCGTGTCCCTGGTATTCTTCAAGTCCATGCAGCACAACTGAGGCGGCTGCAGGGGGATCCACAGAGCAAAGAAGGAGACGGGGGATCTGCCTCAACTGTGGATGGCTCCACACAACAATCCCAGCTCACGCTCAGCCAGGGGGGGCAAATCACCTCAGTAGCTGCAGCCCGGATCTAGGGCTCAGCAGAGCCAAGCATTACCTCAGCTCAGTGAGGCAGAAGCTCTGTGTTAATGCCTTTAGAGCAGCCCCCACCATTCCCAGCATGAGCCACTGCGGCTCCCAGTGCCACACCACATCCCCTGGCACCCCGAGCCAAGCCAGGCTCACGGCTTACCGAAGGTGGTGAGGCAGAAGGAAGCTCCCAGGGGCTCAGCCCGGCGGGTGCAGAGTGAGACTCTGTGCACATTGCCAGACTCCATGGCAGGACAGCTCTAATTAGTAGAAATCGCAGCCCTCCCTGTCAGGTCTGAGAAAGCTGAGCTAGCTGCAGCCAGGAGGGACAGGCTAGCCAGCAGTGGCGTTTCCAAGGAACGCGCTCCAACCGCCGCGTTTGAACAGCGCAGCTCCCATTGGCCCCGCGGATTTGAATGGAGGCCGCACCTGTCTGGGCAAACAGGGCCAAACCCGCTGAGCCCAGCAGCGCTCTGCCCGCCCGGCGGCCCCGCAGCCAGCAGCTCCGGAGTCAGGAAAGTGAGAAAAAATACAAAGCAACTGAAAGAATAATCTCTCTTTCAACACACACAGACTGCAAAGTGCCCCAGAGACCAGTTCCAGCACCAGGGCAAAAAAGCACGTACTTCCCCTCCCCCCTTTTGCTCTCTTTCAATGTTTGGCCACTGTTACCAGCTCAGAAGAGACAGGGAAAAAAAAGAGCAGAGACACGTGGAGGTGAGCACAGCCCACGGAGCCATGCGGCCCTGCTCCAAGCCCTGCAGGACGCCTTGGGGACTGATGTTTCAGGGTGGCAAAGGCCACCCATAGACACCCTGAGCCCAGACTGAGGTGAGCGATGGGAGATAAGGTTGCAGCCAGCTCTGCCCACCACAGCTGACAACAGAATCCTGCAGAGATCAGGATGCTGGCACCCCTGCCTCCTCCCCACTCTCCTGTCAGGGCCAAGCCCACCTGCTGTCCCCCTCAGCCCCATTCCTTACCTTTCTCCTTCACCCATGCAGGACTGATCTTCCTCTTTCTGCCCAGCACCGCTCCCTGGCTCCGCCAGCAGGCTCTCTCTGCCCTGCGTTGTACCTCTGGCAGCCCCCACATCCCAGGGCTGTGCCTTGTGCCTGCCAGAGATAAAAGAAACAGGCAGGTCAGGACACACAGCTGGAATGCAGAGGACATCATTCTGTAGTGTCCTGTGAACCCTTTTTTGTTCTCCAGACACCATGCTGCCTTGTTTCCTGCATCCCAGCATTTAGAAACATCCCCATGGCATGCTCTGTGCCCTGTAGACATCAGATAAACAGGTCTGCCTTTCCTTCAGCTTCAGCAGCCACCATCCCCAGCACCCATCACACGCTGCATGCCTCTGAAGCCTTGTTAACACTGGGACACCACACATCAGATCCCAAGGAAGTGATGTCAGCACTGTGCTGGGTGATCAGGAACCAGCAAGCAGGTGAAACAGGCACTGTTTGGGGGTACAGAACAATTTCCAGGGGAAGCAGGCACCACAAATATCCTTCCCTCCTGGCTTATCAAAAATGCTTCCCCACATTTTGCTCAGCTGAACCCATTTGCTGCATTCCCAGTGGTCTCTGTCTGCCACCCAACAAAATTAAGGGTTTATCTCAACAAATGTACCTGGGGAAAAAAATGATAGCATAATAAGAGGCAAAAGACAACAGGGACAATAAAAGAACAGCATAATTTCTCTAAAGTAGCCATTCTCACAGAATATGCCATTAGACATCGTTTTTCCCATCCCTATTCAGGAGGACCAGGGCCGTGGGAGTCCCTCATGCCCACAGGACTGAAGTTCATTGGCTGCAAAAATCAGTCCTCACTCTCAAATCCTGCAGGCTCATGCCCACTCCATCCTGCAGCACAAGGTGCAAACAGAGAGCCCATGATTTGCCATCCCACAAATGCAATCCCCCAAGGAGCCGAGCATCTCCGGTACTCTGCAAAGCATGTGTGGGAGATGTGGTCTCCTCCAAGCACCAGGTTCTGGAACCTGCACAGTCATGATTCATGTTCCACCCAGCAGACAGCAGCACTCAGTGAGAAATCACCCAGCACTCACATGCCAGCCCTGACTCTCCCCGCTGCTCCATGGCTCTGGCACAGGACTGTCCCTTGCTCCAGCAGTGCCCAAGCATCCACGTCCTGCGCACACACTGCGATTCAGCTGCCACGAGCTCGGTAGCACTGTAAAAAAAGCATCCAAAGAGAGCAGGGCTTCAGCACTTGGAAGTCAAGAATGTGCGCGGGGAAAAGGTGGTAGCTGTAATGAATGCTGTGGCTCCACTCCCTGCAGGCTCCCAACAGCACGTTAGCAGCTCCTTCCAACTTCTAATATTCAAACCCCTGGAGACTGACCTTCACCTGCTTTTCTATTAGAGTTTCCAGCAAACTGCACACTCAGCTGCTTGGCTTGGGAGTTAATGACTTTCTTTTAAAATTTAACACAGTTCTCCATCACAGATTTCAGTTTGCCAGCACAGAGATCTGCCTTTGGCTGGATATTCAAATCCAAACACGCGCTTGGACAGCTGCGTCAGGCTAAAGGGTACCTCAGGCACACATAAGTCCTCCAAGGTTAGAGCTGGCTTTGAAACTCAAGGAGCCAAATCACACTAGAAAAAATTACCTGCCTCCCCAGGCAAGTGATTTTTAGGAACAGAAAGGTTATTTCTGGGATTAGCAAAGTCTGCCATTAAGGGCAGACACAAAACCTCAGCACTTCCCAGCAGTGGGATTGTTTAGGGTCTATGGCAAACACGAAGCAGAGGACGTAGCTGGGGCATCATTATCACCCAGCACCATTCCTGCAGCAGAGCAGCAGTTTCCCTGGAAAATGCCAGTGAGGAGCCACAGACTGGTTGGCCACTGATTCCTTTTCCAATCTGAAACCTGTGACAGGTTTCCTCTGCCACAAGGGCATCGCATGGAGCAAAGCATTGAGTTGAACAAGTTTAAAACTTACTGCCTGTCTCCTCAGCTGAGCTGTGTGCAATCTGAAGCCATGCTTGCAGCAGATGGCTGAGCTGACCCCATGCAGCCCGGCACCGCTTCCTGCTGCCACACCAGGGCTGGCACAGCCCAGCAGGTCAGTTGAGCTCACTAATCCAGCAGAAACTGAACTGTCTATGGCACAGCAAACTGGATTGGCCAGAGTTTGCAAAAGCAGTAGAGATCAGAAACCAGAAGTGACACAGTGGGAAAGGGCGAGTTCCCTTTTGTCGGCAGAGATCTGCTTCAACACCTGCGAAACCCCACTTCCACCTCACACAAGCACAAAGCAAGATGTACTGAGGTACATAAACAAATCTTCCTACCCTTTCATTTTTGGATTAAGCTAATTTAATTGTAGACTGCTACTGAAAGGCCATCTGCCTTTTTCTTCCCCCATTGTGACTCCCAACTTCTGTCCAACCATGGGAACAGGTACCCCCCAAAAAATTAAGAACTTAAAAGCAGAACAGTGGGTCATACAAAGGTCTGCATGGCTCAGCACTGTGTTTCTGATGCACAGTACATATGGGCACACTGATCCACCTGAACACTTCTGTATTTTCAGAAGCCTGAACTTAGCTGGATCAGCCCACCTTAACCATCTACTCCAGAGCTGATTTAAGCAAACAGCAGAAGCACCCAGCCAAGAATGCTCTTTCAGAGAAGTGAAGATTAAGATCTGCTTAAACTGACCTGAAAACCAAGCCCTAGGGATGAAAGTGTGTCACAGCCAAGCAGGTCCAACAGCTCATGTCACCAAAACAGGTGACATCCTGTTTGGGTGGTGGCATGCCATTAGTTCAGTCCTAAGTGGCCACCTTAAGACACTTCTATAGTGTAATTTGCATTCTAAATCAATTATCAGAGCATAGCCTGATTATTACATACTTGGTTTCATGACAGCTCCATTCTCTGTAGTCAGCAAAGCATTCTCCCTTCCCAAGCTGAAAACATTCACCTTTCCAATGCTCTTAAAGATCATCCAGTTCATCTGTCCAGGTGAGATAACGTCCAACCCTGCTGCAAAGTTCAGCCCTGGAAAAATAGGTCTTTCTGAGCTGCAACATAAACAGAAACAAGATTCATAGAGAAACAAATGCAGGCAAACAGTATGAAAGGCAAATCAGAGGTTACCCTACAGGTTTCCTTTTCAAAAGAAAAGCAAATTAACTTTCCAAAGTGAATTAACAAAGTTAGCATTAACGTAATAATTGGTACATGCAGCTGAAATAGCTCCTTAACCTGTACACATGATTTGTCCAGGTGTCCTTCTTTGGGCAGACAGGAACATGTACTCAATCAGTAGAATTACTGGATGGCAATTTTTGTTGGTCAAACCCAATGAATTAGTTTATGATGAAAGAGGATCCCGAGAGACGTCTTAAAGATGAAACAACTGAATTTGAAGACCTTCATCAGAGATAATTTAACCTCACCAGACCTGAGGTCAGGAGGTAATTGGGCAAGAGACATCTGCACGGCAGTGTGCTGAGCTGGGAACCGGACTCTTTGCAGTGGCTTTCTGTTCTCTAGGAGATGGAAAAAAAGGAACAATTCCAGACATTAGAATTAAGTTTCAGGATAAAAACTTAACAGTACTTAACAATTTAGAGGATATCATTTGGGGAGGGGAGGAAGGGGGGAGAAAAACAAAGCTATGTTATTTTCTTTCAAAAATACAAAATAAATAAATGAAGCACACAGAGCAGCCAGGAACAGTCTCTGAAAACAAACTTGAACTAGTGAAAACAGGTGCCTGTAACAACATCCCATATCACTAAAGTGACTCTGATTTGAGCTGTGTCCTGCTTTCAGCTCTGTGAACATTTGCTCTCTTCCTGTTTTTTTAACCAGCACTAATAAAGCCAACAGGATATGCCCTCAGTTCTGGCACTGAGCACCTTGCAGCCCTCCTCCTGACTTGTGCTCACTCATAACTTGCTCTGAAAAGCAGCTTAGGGTGGACGCTGGTAGTACTGATGTGGAAGAAGAGGTGTGAATTGGCTCAAAAGCCTGCAGGGGTTGGGAATACAGGTAACAGTTTGCAGGCTCAGGGACTAACAAAGACCATCTAATCTTGCAACCCCAGAGAGCTCCCAGCAGAACCAATAGGGTTGTTCTCTGCGCACAGTGAAGGTTTTGCAGATCAGAACCTCAGTGTATATGTGAGCCACTTTCTGGCACGTTTCCCCTCAATTTTGAGGGGAGGAAGAGGTTAAATTAAACTAACAACCTCACTACTGGACCTCCCAGCTTGTATCCCATCCATCATAACAGAGCTTCAAGAATGACAGAAACAACACAGATATTCCACAGTGATGGCTCTACACAATAATAATTTGTACTTTTATCACCTATTTTGTCATGAAGATACTGAAGGTACTTCATTTTCACCGAAGTTGAGCAAGATTCAACACCACTGATGCTAACAGTGTCTTCTGCTCAATACAGAAAGCACTTGGCAAGCTCTGTGCCCACTGCAGCAGGACCATAAAGGAAGTATTTCCATGAAGTTCTGGGAAAAATGAGCCCACATGCCTAGCCTTACCACAAGCTTACAACTTACAGGTAGGTGTTCAGAGTCTTCACTTGACAACAGTATTTTCTTCCAAGCTTTCTTGCAATTTAGAAGGGAGGGTGCAGTAGAAGCAGAGTTAGGGGCCTTTTGGAACATCTGGTCTACTTCCTCGAGCATTGGCTGGGGGAGACGCTCACAGTTTTCAGTGCTGGAAGTTAATCTAAGATTAAAGCAAATATAAGTATATAACTAGCAAATATAACACTGAGGACCTGGTAATTAAAAGCTATGGAGTGTGCTGCCACAGCAACTCCACGGGTGCACTAGATCTATTTTCTAGCTAAGCAAACAAGAATTCACTGATCGTAACTTTTTTTTTTTATATGCAGATCACATTCCAGGTACTGATATACAAACCCCATCTATAACGACATAACTAAAGCCAGCTGAGGTCCTCGGGTGGAAGGAAGTTATCAATGAGAAAGGTGTTATGCGTATAAGTGGAAAAAAAAAAAAATCACATTGGAATCTGAGCGCTTGCATCTCAATGGCTCACATCTGCAGACACCATTCTGGCAAGCACTGCAGCAGGGAGATCAGGAAGAAACAGAAGAGAGCATTTGTGCAAATTAATTTGGGAGGACAAATAAAGAGGCTATAGGAAACATACAGTGTAAAATAGACAATACAAAATTGTAGATGAATCAGATCATAGATTGTACTTGGGTACAGCCATCCTAGGCCACAACAGGCTGACAGTCTGGCACTACTCCCTGGCCTTTATTTGGGAGCAGAGGAGCTTTGTCTGACCCTGGCTCTGGGCCAGCATCATCTCTGCTTCTACTCCAGCCTACCCCCACCACTGCACAATAACACAACTCTGCCTTGCTTTGTTCTTAAGTTAGGCATATAGGAAACAGCCTTGCCTTCTGGCAAAACAGAAATCAACCTCTGATGGCTTTGTTAGCAACAGCAAGCCGACAGCTAGTCCAGAAGCAGGCATTAGCACTGTGTATTACAGTTACAAATGTACCAGTTACAATTGGTCATTATTTCATTAAAAAATAATGCAACACCTGCTACAGCACTTCACCCCTGAGAGCCACTGAATGACCCTGCAAAAGAATTGTTAACAAAAGAATACATTGAAGTGAGCTAGAAACAAGACTTGAGAGACGTGTGGTTTGTATGAACAGTGATAGGCTTTTATTAATACAATTACTGTAAGTGGAAAAGTAATCAGCACTGTCACGCACACAAGCCTTCCTCCAGGTCTGACCTTTGAATATTCAAAATGCTGTGCACACCTTATTGTGTTCAATACAAGCTATAACTTTACCTATAAACATGCCTCACAACTGCCCATACTCCATCCCCAGTGCTGCTCCTGATGCTGGGAAACATGTGCTGTAGGAAAACCTGCACTGTCAGTTACTGCTCCCAGATTCAGGTATCTTCCCAGCACAACACCAGATTAACCTTCTACCTTCCTGCATTCTGAGTTTACTTAGTTACATCATTGGGTCTAGGCATGATAGTTGTGGGGCTGGGGTCTGTAGAGCAGCGTGGCCTCACTCAGCATTGCCCAATACCTGCACCGTGGGCTCCCTGCTACTCCTGGCACAGCAAAACCCACAGGGTGAAGTAGTGGGCGCCTCTGTGCCACATCAGTACCCACACAGCACTGCAGGGAGAGGCAAGAACCCAAGAACAGAAACAACACAGCCACCATCCCCACAGACCCCTCTGCCTTAGGGCTCCTCCAACCTGCCCCAGCTGCTCCCTGGCCCTCACACCCCTCAGCCCTGCCCTTCTCCTCAAGCTTCCACAACCCCACTGAGGTCCATCCTCACTGACAGCCCCCACAGGTCCCTTCCAACTCCCACAGCTCAGCTCCATCCAACAGCCCCCATCCCCTCCATAGGGCTGCCAGCAGCCTCCCCCCCCACCACAGGACCCTCCCCACAGCTCTTCTCTCCCCATAGCCCTCCCCTCAAAGGTGATACAGGTCGCTTTCTTTAGTAATAGGGATTAGTAACCAATATATTAGTTTAGCAAAAGAAATGTGTAAGCTGTAGTCCTAAAACTTTCAGCCTTGGTGAGTGAATAGCCTTGTTTTCCTCAATAATTTTGCACTGGAAACTTAATAGAATGCTTCATCAAAACACATAAGGACATTTTCCTCAGGTTCCACATACGTTGTTATTAAGAAGTGGCTCACTGTGGCCTAACAAGCAGTGGGAATTGCCCAAACTGGGAAGCAGTGAATGGCAGTAGGTCAAAAGCCTCAGTGATGAAGCTGGTGGTGAAAAATGGGGAAGCAGAAGACGGGCACTCGACCACCCTGATTCCACTGAGCATCCAAAGGGACACTGCAGGTATTCATGAGAGAAGAATGAATACTTGTGCTGATGAATATGCGTCTTGCTCGAGTTGCCTGGTACGTATGGTGAGGAATAAAGGAATGCTGCTTTCTAACACCACACTGGAGTTAGCTTTTTTTCTAGATGTCGGATGACACAGACTCATTTCCCCCTCCGCCCCAGCCCCTCTGCTCACAGTTCTCCCCCCATCCTCCGCCCTCATCCCCCACCCGTTTCCCGCCCACCGCCTCCCCGTCTCCAGGCAACGGCAGCCGCGGAGCAGGGCGGGAAACAGCAGCGTGGTGCATTGTGGGGCGGGGCTGCGCGGCGCGGTTGTTTCTTGGGGCGCCGCCTGTGTTGTGCAGGAAGCTCGGGATGGCGGAGAGACCGGAGGATCTCAACCTGCCCAACGCCGTCATCACCCGCATCATCAAAGAGGCGGTGGGTGCCGGGCCGAGGGGCTGGGCGCGCGGGCAGAGGCCTCGTTCTGCATCAGAGATCCTCAGCGCGGGGTTCTGCTGCCCGAAACGCCTCACGTGAGAGCTGTTCTGAGCTCTGTGAACGCCACAGAACTGACGGGTGCATGAGGCAGCTCCGAGCCTCGGAGAGCAGCAGCTAACTTCCTTTCTAACTTGCTTTCTAGCTGCCTGATGGGGTGAATATATCCAAAGAAGCTCGGAGTGCGATATCTCGAGCAGCAAGTGTGTTTGTGCTCTATGCA